CATTGTGGGTGTGTTTTTAGAAGCTTCTCTGGGCGCTTTGGTAGCGAACTCAGCTCGTCCGTATAGTCATCATCGACCTCATGTTGGTCCTTTCTGTGTTGAGCCACATGTACTGCCGAGGCGTGAGCAGTGCCCGCAGCCCGCTGCACGGCGGGTTGCTCCTCGCCCCCCCGCGTCCTCCCCTTCCCCATCTGCGACCACCACCGCGTGCACCGGGGGTGCTATTCCGGCTGGGGCCCTCGGTAGAAGACGATGGCTTGCCGACTCGGGAGGAGTTTGGCTTTCTTTTCCTCCTTTTTTCCTTTCCTTCTTTTCATCTGTCCTTGCTCCCCGTACCTACGCGCGTTGGATGTCTCGGACAGTGCGATTGCACCGCGCTCTCTCTATACACTCATACCCTTCATTGGCATCCGTACATTACTTCATGCGCTCTACTATACGACCCCGTAGATACCTCACACGACAGGGGTGCCGCCGCCCGCATTTCGCGGGCCGGCGCCCGCCGCGTCTTAGCACTATATGTTTGCTTGTTGCGGGATATAAATGTAGATTTCATCATCATCATCATCATCATGCGTGACGTCCGGCGCCTTGAGCCACATGTCACGACGTCACGCCGCGTCAGCCCCAATATCCGCTCGCTGCGAATTTGAGTGGAACGTCACCCGTTGCCTGCACGTTGTCTCCTTTCCGCTGCCAGCGAGTTGCTTGTGCCCTTATTCTTGCCACCTTGTTGTGATTCTACACCCATCTCGTCCCAGGACAATCCCAAAAAGCGACTATAATGGGCGGCGCAGGTGCGGCCTATCATGCGGCAGGCCGACGTGGACTGACTATGTTTTGCCTCTCTTCAATTCTTGCTATATCAACCAAATTGTTGTGGAATCGACAGGATGGCTATTCCTTTTCTCGGTACTCATGGCTGCTGGGCTGCTGTTTACGATGGTCTTTTTCGTGCGTTCCAGCTATTCCTCGTGATGTTTGCAGCCACTGAACCCCATGCGCATGATGCAGATCATCATGTTCTCCGACCTCGAATGCGACTATATCAACCCAATAGATCTTTGTAACAAGCTTAACCAGGTATTCGTCGGCAGTCTTGTGCGCTATGGCCGGATGGGTCGCTGTGCTCACATTGTGTCCCCCGCCTGCAGTTTGTCCTCCCGGAGAACATAGCGCACGCGTTCCTGGCGACTCTATTCCTACTGTCGGGTCAGTGGACGGCCTTCCTGCTCAACGCGCCATTGCTCGTTTTCAATGTCAATAAGTATGTCGCCTCCTTGCTGTCGCCGATATCCAAGTTCATACCCTCTGCAGAATCCGGAACAAGAATCATATGTACGATGCGACCGAGATTTTCCGCACCCTCCCAAACCACAAGAAAGAGAGCTTCATCAAGCTTGGCTTTTATCTCCTCAGCTTTTTCTACTACCTCTACAGGTTCGTCCACCTATGTGTAAGGCAACCATGCTGCGGTGTTAACGTGTCACGCGACAGAATGATCCTTGCTCTCATCCAGGAGAGCGAATGAACGCACGAAACACCAAGCCTGGCTGTCACGCTCATTTCACGAACTCTGCTGATGACCATGGCGGGCGCAGGTGCGGCAGGTAAGGGTGGATCTACACGACATTTGGACTGGTTCGACGATGCTCTCTGTGTCGACTGGCGTTCCTCGCTTGAATATAATGCGCGGTTACGACCGACTGACTTGTATGTTGCCTTGGTCTTGATCACGTCAAGAGAGGGTTGTCGTCGCTGTTGATCACGAACGGTCATACGAACCATCCCCTGAGGTAGATGGTTACATGATGTATATGAAGTGGACTCGCGGAACATTATACAAGCGGAACATCCAAGAGACTGTACCAAGATTGTGAGGAAGGTGAGCGGATGCTCAAACATGTTCCCACGCATTCTGACAGCCGGGCTCACAATTGGTCAAGGATGATGTCCGACGTAATTTTCGACTTCAGCAGCAGCAGAATGGAGTCGTACCATTTAGCGATCCCTCCGCGCCCGACTACCTTCTCTCTACGGCTGAGACCCATCCCAATCACGCAGAGGACGCGCGAAGCCTCTGGTGCATCGCCCGGTCGGCGATATTCGTCCTCCATGCTCCTGGGGTCATACTGTGCTCCGTCTTTGGCGGTGAGTATATCGAGCTCGCATGTGATGACGTCTTCTCCGATAGCGGTCTGGAGGCCGAGAGCAAGATCGACGATCTTGCTCAGTCTGCTACTGCACTTCGCTTCGATCCCGTCGCGGAGATCGCGAGGCATCCCTGCGATTTCAAGGATGACGGCGCAGTCGGTTGCAAGTCGTGATGTGTATGAACTTGACAAGGCTATTCCATCTGTAGCGATGCCCTGTCTAAGGTACCGCCGCGTCAATGCGCGCCATCGTCCCGCAACTGTCTGCGTCTCTGGTTGGCACGTGACGGAACGTTAAAACATCGCTCGGTCGTACAAGCTAACGCAACGCAACGTACCTGCGTGATATAGAGACTCCCAAGCGCACTGCAACGCCCGGTTGGTCTCGGATGCTCCCGAACCCCATTTTTGTATAATGTGTCGCGTATGTACGACCAAGCACGCCTGCAACGCGAGTTGGATCGATATTGGATCCTCTCGACCCGGAGTCGGTTGCAGGACGCCAGTCATCTTCTCACCGATGACACCTGCCATTCGTTGCACCGTGGCCTGATCGTGTGCTCCTTGTTGTGACACGTTCTGGCCGAGATGGGGTGCGCATTTGTCCGCGATGAGCGCGGCGGTCTAGAATATCTCGGCGTTCAGCTGCTCCACCATCCGGCGCACCTGCGCTTCAGGTACAGAGTCCGTCTTTGAAAGATATGCATCCGCCCCTCGCAACTCCTCCGTCCTCGTTTGCAAGAGCGCAGTGGCATTATCACGTTCCATAGTGATGGCGTCTAGTGCGCGCTGGAGACCGTTGATGTTACGGGCCTGAGTCGCTATGGTGGTCTGGGCAACCTCCACCTCGCGCACACAATGAGCATGCATCTCCCTGTACTGCATCTGTAGTGATACTAAAGCAGAAGTGTGGTCCTGCTGCAACTTGGCGATCTGTGCCTCATGGGACATTTGCCGGTGGCTGTTTTCCGCCATTACTTGGTCCAAATTGCTTCTTTGTCTGGCGATATCCCCCTCGGCATATTGTTTCCATTCCTTCAGCTCATTTCTCTCCTTTCTAAGCCTCGCATTCTCCTCCCTGAGGTCTATGGTCTGGCGATTGACTCCCGTAGGACTGCTCTCCGCAGTTTGTTGAGGTCCCGGCACCATCCAAGATTTTATTACAGCCAGCGCTGGGAGCACTGAGCACCCACGGTCGGTATATATGCGACTCAAATGGGTGAGTGCATTGTGCTCACTGAATGTTTCTTCCGCACCCAATGAGGTACGAGTTGCGATCAGTTGTGCTTTTGTGTATGATGATAGGCTTCAGGTCATATATAAGCTGTTTAGCTGTGGACTACCAGGTCTCAGTTGATATCGATGAGAGCGCAAGGAGAGCACGTTGCAAATCAATGTCACATAGCGCTTGTGGTAAGTCACTGGTCACAGGGATTTTGAAAGCACCATCGCGGCAGCATCGTTCGTTATTCTTTATCTCTATCCAGTGCGCCGCGCCATGGTAGCGAGGAAACCATATCTCGGTGCCCACCGGAAGCTGGTGCTCGCCTTCGACATAGGTACCACCTTTAGCGGCGTCAGCTACAGTATCCTGGATCCCGGGGAAATCCCAAAAACACTTGGAGTGCATCGGTACGTCCTACCCACATCGTGTTGACCGTGAGTCCATCAGTCCATCGCATAGCAATGTAGATTTCCCGGACAAGAAGCGAACGCTGGCGATTCAAAGATCCCGTCTGTGCTATGGTACGATCAAGCGGGCGAAGCTCGTGCGGTTGGCGCACAAGCACAACTTCCACAGGTTGTCGATCAGGCGATCACAGAGGAATGGATGAAGGTAGAATGGTAAGAATGTTTGCATCATATTCGATCTAGCACATTTGATGTTCATTCGATCGCAGGTTCAAGCTCCATCTACGACCAGTGACGGAGGTCCTTCCCTCGGACAGAGAAGCCCAACGTTACAGTCGTATGGCCCCTCTTCCCGAGAGAAAGACCATCATCGATATACTCGCAGACTTCATGAAGTATCTCTACAGTTGTACCCGTACTTACGTCATTGAGACACACGCAAGCGGCAGTATCATCTGGGCGTCTCTCGAGGGGCCAAGCCAGTCTTCCAAAGTCCCGAGGAGGCATCCTATATCAGATTCGGCTCGATGCGTGATAAAGACTTGGCATATGGCATACGAAATGGTCAACTGACACTTTCAGGGTATGGTTACCTCACTATGCACTTGATGCGCTTCTTTTCGTCTGACTCGCAAAAGGACAGAGATGTCGTCCCTTTTCGAGCCTTCAATCATTAGAATCAAGGATGCAATCCACAATCAACTTTCCGCTGCTCAAACCCCTGTCAACGTAAAGTATCTTGTTGACCGCTTGTTTAGAGTCAATCACACTTTGATAATCATAGATCCTGTTCTTGGTTGGTGGCTTTGCGGCAAATCCATGGCTGTTCTCGCAGCTTAAGGAGTTCGCACAAGCGCCTTGCCTAGACTTCGCACGTCCGGATTCTCACACGTATGTGCTGTGATTGCATAGTTGAATCCGTTGTACGTTACTTATGCATTACGTTGTCGACAGGAACAAAGCAGTCGCAGAAGGCTCCTTGTCGTATTACCTGGACCATTTCGTGTCCGTCAGAGTTGCTAGATTCACATACGGAACACGTTTGACAAGACAATACGTTCCTTCCGACCCAGAGCACCAGCGACGCCATGATCAATTATATACATTTCCATCGGGACGGCAAGGAGTCCGTGGAGCATTTTGCACGATTATACAGAAGGCAAGTCATTCTGATACAGCTATGCGGGCTCATTTATCAAATCTTGAGCAAGGGCACCAAGGTCTCTGAAGAAAAAGAGTTTACCAAGTCTTATCTACGGGAATCATCCTATCGATTGTTCCTCGGCAGTGTTTCGGAGCCAATCATTTGCTATAGAGGCGTATTTAGCAATCCTCGCTGGCTTGACACCGATTCCCGTATGCATTGGTCTTGTATGCTCATCCATAGGCTGCTGACATGGAGGTTGATTAGAGATGTTCACGGAATTATGTACTGTAGAGGCAGATACATCATGCGTCCCCAAGAAACCGCGACAAGGAGCCAATGGCGACTACTATGTGCTCGATTACGATATTGTTATGTCATTCGGTCTGACAGAGCTGAAGGCGCAAATATGCTGGATTGAGAATGCACGTTGAACTCTGCTTCTTGACCTGCGGCTTGCTGACTTGTCTGTCCGTCTAGGGTGTTGAACAAAGGTCAGATTGCGGGTGTTTTTCGGTCGTAATTATGTAGTGATGCGGTGTCTCCAACAGGTCGCCCGCAAAACTGGTGTATGACGATAATATCACTTCTCCCTAAGATCTAGTACTTCGTTCATATCTTGTACCTGTGACTCAACGTTCTCGGTCTTCTGCATCTACCGTTTTACTCTCATTGCCATGCCATATAGGCTATCGATTTTGTGCGTTGCCATGTACAGTAGTGGAGCAGTGTAACAATTGGCCCGAGCAGCTTAATGCTGTCATATAAATGTCAAACTGTGCTGTCGGAATTATACCGCGGACACCATCCGCAGGGGTGAGTGAATCCTGAATAACCCATGCCGCTCAGGGATTCCTGGTCTGTCGCCCCTGAAACAACTCGTCAATGATATGTAAAATCATAGTCAGTGTCAAGTAGAAACGTATTTCGTATGGGGTCCGAATTACCATCGCGTGTTGCTAGGCAAATATATGAGCGTGCAGTGAACGCAAAGGCAAAATGTTCTGTTGTCCCAAATGAAAGACTCACGCTGCGAGCTCAGAGACTTGCGAGTAGCTCCTGAATGGTGTACTCAAGCACGATCTTAGGCTTTATAAGCATACCGTCTGCAACCGTCTCTAACCGCATCAGCCCAATGTTGATTCCAAAGCAGACGTCAAGTGATCCTTCGATACTACTATGGTTTACCAGTGGGTGCCCCCCCCCCCCCTCTCGATGGCCAGGTTTGTGATGGGCAACAACCGGACACTCCCCTGCCCTCGAAATTATATGGACACCTATGTTTTCGTAAGCCTGCTTCCACCTCCAGCTGGAATCAGAGCGAACAGATGAGCCGTTGAGGAGCCCCTTCTTTCGAGGGATCTGATGGCGATGTCACGCCCGAGAGCACGATGGCCACGACAGACGCGAGCGGAGTTACACAAGGGACCTGTCGATCACCGTGGAGCCACACCCCACTGAGCAAAAGTTCAGGCCCCGGCCCTGTGAGCCGAGCGGACCTCTGAATCGGCGTCGTCACATTGATGTGACGAAGTGTTACCTGGCCAGGCATCCACTGGTAAACCATAGTATCTATAATCTATTTGGTCCCCGCAGTACTCATCTTCCATATCGGCAGCGTCAAACATTGCACCAGTGTCGACGACGATATGTCGAAAGTGGCAGGATATGATACTATCTTCTATCAGCTCCCGCAGCTCAAGTGCCTTCGATACTATCATCCTAAGTCTCTCTCACAGCTTCTGAGATGCAGGCAGATGATCTATTTGTTAAACGAGCTATCGAGCTGACGCGACGGTCTGTCAGTATAGAACACAGTGTATTAGGCTTCAGTGCGGCCGTAAGAGTCGAACTCATTATGCACCTGTATAGAACAAAGTGTATTCTACGGTACATCAATATCATGAAGGTGTCAAGGGACGAGAATGGACTCACTGGCTTCAGTGCGGTCGCGAGGGTCAAACTGAAGCCTGAGTACACAGCGAGTACGAACGTCCTACTGGGCGAAGAATCTAGACTGTACAGTATACCAAACAAAGCACAAACAAAGTCCGATGGCGCATCACCGGCAGACGTTTCGTATGTCTGGGTGCCAAGGCGTCAGCGTACCTGAGTGAACTCCGAGGCGTCCTGCGCCACGGCTTGTGCTTCGACACTATTTGTACGCCAGAAGCGAGGAGTACGTCTACGACGCGAGCGTGCAGGCCGTCAGCATGTTCTGCTTCGTCGCGGGTCCTGATCTCGGACGCTATATGCGTCCTGACGTGCTTGTGCGTCAAAGAGCGCTAGCGCTCAGTGAGTTTGAGGCTCTATATACAAAATAGTATTTTTGAGATTTAGAAGGACGATAAACAGAGATAACAGCGCGCACAGGTTATGAGCATGTTGTTCAGAGTATTCCAATAGGGAGCGATGTCGTCGCTGGAGTCAAGTTCGGACATGAGATCCCGGGCGCCAAGATATGCGACAGACAACCTTCATCTAGCGAAGGTAGACACTGCGAAAAAAAATGAGCACACTTGACAGAAGCTGTAGCGTCGTGAGTCTCGGAAAATGAAGCTGCGGCGACAGGAGAACCATTTTGATGCACGAAAAATCGTTGTCAGCGCGTTGATGCAGTCCCCGATGTTCTCCTGAACGCCAATTCAGAACTCGAAAATTTGAGACAAGCCTAGTGAGCTGAGTAACGTCTTGTTCCGAGCTGCTCATAGGAGTAAGTATGCTCACAATGAATTCGGAGTGTAGATGTCACCTCTGCGACGGCGACTGCAGTGGAGAAGACCTTTCCCAGCTTTTCCCAAACGGACACTTGGAGACATTGGTAGGGTCACAACACAGTCAATTATCTTAGTCTGGTGGATTTGAAGTACAACAGAGCTTGAAGAGAGCGTACGTATCTTCTGCTCAAAATGGGATTTAACAACCTAATTGCATAGGTGCATTCGCTCCAGGAAAGCGAAGAACACACAAGGCTGATAGAGATGTGAGACTCAGGTGTTCCCCAGCCAACCACGAAAAGCTATTTAGTATAAAACGGGCTGACCTAGTGGAATCAGAGCTCACCGTACCCGCGGAAAAACATTCATGTCAGAAATCAGCGACAGACCTCAAGATTGATAAGTCCCGGAAGCTCTTCAACCGTCCGCGTACGATCGTGTCGTTCTTGGTAGGTGTGTTTTAACTTTTACAAGACGAACTGAAACGTATCGATGAATGCACAAGACGGGCAGTTGTGTATACGTGGTGACACTGGACAGGATCAACCGGGCCAGAATACAGGCGCCTTGATTTCCGGCCATCAAACCAAATGCCTCCGCGATCGGGACCATGTAGGGCGAACGTCGATTTGCTCCTCCAAGTTTGCTTGCACAGTACTCAGTGAGCGCTGGCCTCGCGAAGCTCATTCAGTGCGTGGATACTTGGAGGACACACTCCCACATACTGAGCAGATGGCCAACAGCGGTGAAGGGTGTTCAACGTCTAACGTGAACGGCCCGCATTTGACGCAACTCAAGTTGAACACGTCATTGCACCGCCCCTCCAGGTATGCCCCACCGCTCACTCCTCTAGGCCTCAGGCTATGCGATGACATATTGTGCGAGCGCAACAAGCGTTACGGGACGTGAGTATACGTACATCCGCCGTACTACGGGAAGTGGAGCACGTCTGTGTGGATCCATTGACTCGAAGGTCTAGAGTCCTTATTCAAGCTGATACGGTCGGCATTCCGTCATAGGACAGGGTTGACAAATAATCATTCGTCTACAGTGCTGCGATGAAACCATGCTCGACGAATGAGGCTTCCTCGTTAACGACACTTTCCGATTTTATTTTCGGTGTCACAGGGATATTGCCAGTATGCTGTAGTATCAACCTCAATCGCTCCCTCGAACTACATTGAACTCATGCGCCGCTATGAATGTCGTCCTGTGCCATGTTTGGGGTCTCCTGACATTCATCAGATCTCATCCACACAACTTAATGGAACACAGAGCCCAGTGGTCTCCACCGACCGCCGACTCCACTAAGCCCCAACGTCCTTGATCTCTGCCACTGTGAGCAGCGTCCAGTCCCGTCCAATTCCAATGGCATCGCTTATCCGCTTGTCCGAGTTCCCTCACGGAAGAGTATAAGTATTCTTGTATGTAACCATGCTATGATCACACATACCCACAACTCCCCGCTTGCTGGCACTTGGTAGAGGAGCTCAGAAGTCGCTGATTATCACAATGCCTGGCTCTCCTCCGACTACTGCTCCGCCTGACGCGTCCGGCTTTCAACTCCAGGTTAACGACGCTCTACCTGCCATCCCTCCCAGCTGGACATCCTTCCGTGCGACTACGTCCCGACTAGCGAATGCTCTCCTGTACAGCGTCTGTGGCATTACAAGCGAGATGTCGCAGATCATCCTGCAAGTCGCCTCTACGCTGTACACCGACATCTTCCTGTGCTGCTACCCAGTTCGCATTCACGGTGCCCGTTACGCACATATCCGCAGCGCGATGGCTATCCACGATACACAAGGTCTCGAGGCCGCCGCGCCGAACACCGCACAAGCTCAATGGTCTGCTTTCCACACTCGCATCCTGAACGAACTCGAGCTCGTCGGTATTCTGTCCGGCGTGCTCCTGACGTGAGTGGCATCAGCCCTGCCTGCGAAACTGGCGTCACCTCTCACATACCCGTTGTCTTGGACAGCGGCATCGCCACCTTCTCTCAAATCGCTGCTCTCTCGGGCGACCCCATCGCATGCACGCTCGCCCTGATCGCCCTGATCGACGCACTACACAGCCTCGCGGCCGCTGTAGCGTTCGTCCCTCACTTCAAGGACATGGTGCCGCTCGCGCGAGGGCGCCGGTGGATCCGAGTACGTCACGTCCTCGGCGCTCCCGCTGCCACGCTTGGCCTCACCTCATAGACACTGGACAGGACGGCGAACGCCTGTGCGTGTCGCCTGCAGCGCTGCTCGCCGCTCCCGTGGCATGGCTCCTGTGGTGCGCGCACACAATTGTGATGCCCCGTCGTTCTCTTTGTTCACCGTTCTTCGTGCAGGGCGTCCATCTGCGCCATCGCCGCGTCGCTTGTATACCTATGGGCCAAGGCGCTTGATATTGAGCCTGCGCTGATGAGCCCTGCGCGCTGGGTCGTGCCCGGGGTCGTGGTTACTGGCGTGACGCTTCTGAATGCCGCGCATCTGCTCTATGCCATATCTGCCTTCCGCCGGCTAGGAGCCGGCTGCCTTGAAGTCGAGGGCGTCACTGCTGATCCTTTGCCAACTGCAGAACAAACAAGTGCGGGTGTAATCGCTCAAGTCCTACATGCTGGCTGACGCCATGGTAGATCTGGACCTGGAGTGCTCTAGTAGACCAACTGCATGTTCCGGTCGAATGCAAACCATGTATATATATACCAATGTGTACGCGTTGTCTGTCTTTCCAGTGGAAATCAGTGGGCGATGATTTGTTGTTGAATCAGACTGAATAATTCGGAACAAGCAACAATTAACTTGGCAGGATATCCAGGGCGCCTGATGGCTGATGTAATCAGACATTAGCGCTTCGCAAACAGACGTCAACATAGCGTCGGTTTTTGGCTGTGCCACAATGAGTCTTGCACGGCGTCCGACTTGAACTGCTACCATCGCCTCTTTCCTTCCCCACCGCTATGACAGCCTCTCTTCTCGAACGCATCTCTCTCCCCGCCAATGGCTCAGTCGGTCCCGTGCGCAACCGCGGCCATCGCGCTGGCGGAAGCCCATACGTGCGCCGCTTCTCCTGAGGTCCCGCGCTTCGTCCTCCTCACACTCCACCTCTCTCGCATAGAACCGGAACCAACGCCCACCGAAGGGCGACGTCAACAGCACATGGGAACACGATCTGTTCCGCGGGCCGGGAGCAGACAGCGGCTCGCTCAGTGCGCGGCTCTCGTCCGCGTCGGCGGGCGTGCCCAAGATGAACTTTACGGGGGCAGACCGCGCGCTGCGAGAGGCGCTGGGGGAGAAGGGGCTGTCGATAAAGGGTGCGAGTGGGCGGGGGAACGTCGTGCAGGTCGGCGGGCTGGCGAACGGCACGAGCGCTGCTGATGTCGAGGTGCGTGTCCCTCTCTTATTGTCTGCGGGTGCTATTGTGTGCTGAGACGCCCCGCTTGCAGGCGATCTTCAAGCGATGCGGGCCCATCACCAACGCGGTGCTCACGTCGCGTGCTGACCCGCCGATTGTCCGCATTACGTTCAAGCACGAGCAGGACGCTCAGGCGGCGGTCACAAAGTTCCACGGACAGCCGGCGGACGGCCGCTTGCTCGAGGTCAAGGTCGTTGGCGGCGTGAATGCTACCCTGGGCGGGCGCATCATGGGTGCCTCCGTGCCGGACGATAGCGTCGACGTGCTCATGGGGGACGATGGCTCCAGCGGATCGTGAGTTCCTGGCGTCAGGAGCCCATGGCTCAACACTTAATTTGTCGTGCACGCCAACAGAAAACTCCGCTCCGACGACATCCTTGCAAAAGACTCCCGCGCGACCGTACTCGTCGCACCGCCGGGGATGAACCCGTCCGAATACACGCAACGACCAGCACGGGGCGGACGAGGCCGTGGACGAGGCCGCGGGCGGCGTGGTGGCGGCCGCGGTGGTCAGGCAAGAATGGATGTCGACTAGACTGTATCTCTGTCTTGTTACTAGTGGTTATGCTGGGAGATCCTTTCGTCTTGGACTGTCCATATGCTCATGCCAGCGTGGTCTGCGCTCCCATCCCTCCGTATATTTACATTTACGTGCTGTATTAGTGGTCTCCTCTCCGTCTCTGCGAGCATACTCTGTTGTTATCCGGTTTCAGAATCCGCACCGTTCATCTGATCGCCTGGTGTGCGCTTGAATACTTTTGCCTCCCCGAGTCTTTGCACCCGGATGTGATGCACTTAAGCTTTAGTTCTTCGCAACAACACGCGCACACACAAACACAGTGGTAGATCATTCTGGCATACATCAAATTGGGGCTCGCTAAAATTTCTGACTACGGCAAATCTCCTGTGTTCTCTGGCAGGGATCAAGATATATGTCAAGATGCTTTGACTACGGGGCGTAAAGCACGTCTTGCACAGTATACTCCGCTCAGCAGAATTGGCAACCGCGAAGAGGATTCTGAAATTACTCTTCAGAATCCTCTTCGCGTGTGTCAAATGCTGACGAGCGCCTGCGTCCCATCGACGCTACTTATCTGAGCCCAACGCGGACCGTTCGCTCTCGTCGCCTATGAAGCAAACAGCGAGCACGATACCGAATAGTACTTACCCCATGCTTGCTCCTATCTCCCACCGAAGTGCGATTGGGTACCTGCGCTGTGTGACGGTCTAGCTTTCGGGGTAGTGGGTGTCAGTGAGTGTACAAGTTCAATCTTTCTGCTGACTGCCAACAGCTATTCGGCATAGGTATGCACAACCACATTGACTTTCGAGGTGGGTGACCCACGTCGAAAGTCAAGGCGACCAGGCTTAACACACGTGGTTGATCTGGACCTCGTCGACGGAGCTTAATCTAGAAAACAAAAGCCTATAGGAAAAGCGAAGATGACCCAGCTCAAAATATCCGCGTGCAGCGGTTGATGAATGAAAGAGTCTCGAACTTGAATGATTTAGCTAGGGAGCGGTTTGAGCACGCTTGAATTGGCAAGTCGCGGTTAGAGTCAGAGCTATTCAACGGCGCCACGTGGGCAGGAGTTTGAAATGTCGGAGTCGTGTGAGTACTGTATGTCCCGTTATGCATCAGAGTACGCCCATAACAGCTCATACAGCACGTTGATCAAGAACCTTGTTTAAATAAGTCTCTACATACCTTCAGGCTTCAAGGTCAAAATCACGAACTGGAGGCTAGCCCAGCATGAAAGCGATGCTCCTGTCATTTAGTATCACATTGTTCGATGACCACTGGACTATTAAGTTTAGTGAGTGTAGTAAGGTGATACTTATTTGAAGGCCTCTACCCGACTCAAAGACTCACTGGCTGCATTCCCTGTGTCTCAAATTCATATTTAGGCCAAGTCCGAGATTATGACCGCTCCCTTCCGCGGTGCTCATGCTATATTCCAATACTGGTACGTCGTACTACAACATCATCTCGTCCCTTATCAATGCCCAAGCCATGTCCCCTCTGCAGCTTCATTACAGCGGGCCGGCAGGGGCATCAGGATGGTCCCTGATATAATCGAGGATCGGAACGTAGGCCTTGGCTGCATCCGGGGGGTTGAAGTCTGTGATGTCGAGAATGTATTCGTTAGTCGAGTCAGTGGACGCCTCGACCACTCTCTCTCCCGTGTTTCTCAGCGGGCGCATCTTGTCCTCCGAACGGTCGCGGATATAGCGCCAGAACTTCATCTTCTGGCCACGCGCGCCGATTGCCCAGCAGCGATCGAAGCCGGAGTCATCGAGGTAGCTGCGGAGCTGCGCCTTGATCGCGTCGAAGTTGTCCCCGCCCACACCCTTCCCCTCCAAAAGAAGAACGGGGTATGACTGAGTGATACCGGTGTTGGCAGCATTGTAAGTGTAGTTCGAAATCATGATGTCGGCCTTTCCTCCGCCGACGATCGAGCCCTCAGGCGAGATGACGTTATTCAAATTGTTTGTGGGCAGGTACAGGCCCAACACTCTGCAAAGGTGCCCCAGATCAATCATCGGTACACTATGAAGAGAACAGAGACGAGCATACGCATTCCACACGCCATTCACTTGGCCCTCGGTATCCATGTGGTCTTTTCCAATCAGAGCAGAGATCCTATTAGCCAACACCTGGTTCATCTTGTACTATTTAAAGGTTGCTGATTAGTGCGCTCTCCCAACGAAGCCATACAACGACTTACACTAGCAAAGTTTGCAGTGAGTGCGAGTTGGGAGAGTGATTGTCGAATGGTGCGTCTACTCAACTGACTCCTCCTCTTATATCACAGCGACGACACCTCCGCGCGTTTCCCTAGCCTTCATTCCGACCGATGCTGCCAATGGTCAACTTCAAACGTCCGATACAAATCGCTACTCCGGTGGTTCACGGACGCCATCATGTATGTGCCTTAATTCACTTAAGCAGTCCTTTCGCTGAGCCAAAAGACATGACCGTCCTCAACTTAACACCGTTATGGGTGCTCACAGTGTTGGGTATGTGGTCTACTTATTTGATCACAATGCTCCTGCGCATGAGGTCAAATAATCTTTGTGAAGTGCAGACATTCGGTCCACATTTCACTTCTTTCATACAATGTCATCAACTCATAAGATCATGTTCAAGCGCGATCGCCACTGCACTACGCTTGATTCATCATGCATCTGATCCTCCTAACGGGACACTCCTCGAAGCAATGCAGCTCTGGTACCGTCGCTAGGATGTCACCGGATACAGCGAGGCGCTTCTAATGTCAACGAGCGCTCTTGGCGGCGTCTGTCTGTTCGCTGCGCAGCATCGCTCACACTATCCCTCCATTGAAAGTCACATTGAAGTATCTTTTTCGCTGATGGCTATTGGTACAGTTACATCGTATCTTTCACATAATCATACACAACTCATATCAACTGCATGAAGCTATCGGCTGACAATACTCTCCCAGGTCGACTTTACGTCGCGGGCGCCTTGGGATGGGCCTTCATATACTCGATGATCGGCACGAACGATTTCGTGTGGTCGGCGTCATTCCACTGCGTGACCTCGAAGACATACGAGTCCCGCGAGTCTATGTCCACCTCCTCGGGCACTCCGCGGTTGCTGACCTTCCACGGCCGCATCTTGGGATCGCGCCTGTTGTGCACATAGCGATAGAACTTGACTTGTGTTCCCCGGGCGCCGATCGCCCAGCACGTGTCGTACTGTTTGCCCGGGCTGTCGAGGTAGCGCACCAGCTGACTGCGGACTTCGTCGAAGTTGTCGCCTGTGGCCCTTTTGCCTTCAAACAGGAGTACGGGGACATCGTCGATGACATGGGTATTGTTCCCGGCATATGTGTAGTGGCGGATGAGCAAGTCGACCCTGTCGCTTCCACCGGCAGTGGGAGGCACCTCGGGGGCGGCCACGAAGTCGAGGGCATGATTAGGGAAGTACAGGTTCAAAATGCTAATCATACGTCGTGGCACAGTCTAGTTAGCAGACACAATACTAGTAGTGAGAGACGCGTACGTGTTCCAGACACCGTTGACGTCTCCTTCATCCCTCATGCGGCCGTTTGCGACGAGAGCCGCAATTCTGTTACCGACAACAGCATTCATTGTGGGCTATCTTGTTATAACTGCTATGAGCCGAGAGTGAGTCTCTCAAGGCTAGCAGAGGTACTCTACTGACCTTTTTAGCTGTAGGAAACTGGGTAACGATGCGATGTTGAACGAAAATACGGCCTTATATACATTCTGACTATGACCTCACCAGACACACCAATGTCACGACCTACGTCAATGTATCGGATTTGGAATTTGGATCCAAGGAACAGGCCAGACCATCGAATCACTGAAGGATGGAGGTTGTAGTGCCGAATCGAGTCACAGCATCAAAGTCTCATAGCCAGGAGGGGCCTCTCATGATCCGGTTCTCAGACGCTGGCAGTTGATATTCACCTTGTGATACAAAGCGAAGCGAGAGGAAGACCGCAATATCACCCCACAGGGCATTCCAATATGCCAGGTACACCACAAAAAAGTGTTCATCTCCAGATCACTTGTTGATGCCATGATCCTCCAGTCTCCACTCTTCACGGAGATGGCTGCGAATACCTGTGCAAGCGTCTGACCAAGTGGGCCTCGGCTTTGACCAATGTTCCAACATCGGTCGGCGCACGACCGCTTCATGATCGCAGCTGACCTGCCATTCGAGTCACTATACATTCATGGAAGCCGTCGAAGAGCAGTAGTAAAGACACGCGACCATTGGAAGCGGTTCATGTGAGAGTAAGTGTCAAACAGTCACGACCTTCGTTGTGTAGGGCTTCTGGCGGATTCCTCGAACATGGGTCTATTGCAGCACCTGTACGCGAGAGCCTTTGGCCGTTGGACCACACCGTTCCAACCTTGAAGCCGAAAGAATGCGATCTATGACGGTCATCTCTCCCCAGCCTACATACTCAGTGTTGTTCCGACCTTCTCATTATTGCGCTGGGTCGACGCTGATGGAGCTCTAGCGGAAGAAAACACACACTGCTCACATCACCGAGTACACGTCCGTCATCTTCTGTATCCTGGGTTACTTCATCTGACTGAGACTTCTTTAGAGATTGCGCGGATGGACTAGATTGATATTGTGTAGACAACGCGCATCGGGTACAGCAAGGTGTGTCACCACCGACAACCGAAAATTCTACAATAATCACATTGACCAAGAATTGCAGAGGCTAATCGGGACTAAGGTGGCTGTTGGGCGTTCAGCAACAGTACGCTAGCTGGATGACCCGCAGAAATACAGGCACGTGAAACTTACAATTCTTTCATACGGAAAGCTGTATGCCATCAACATGATCCTTCATATCGTTGTTGTGATCGTAATACGCGTCCGATTCGTTAGTGGCATAGGCAGACAGGTCCACTTCTTCGAAATTCTTGGCGGCTCCGCGCGCAGGGAAGATCCTGTTCAACACGCAGTAGACTAGCCCAGCAGTACCCATTCCAGTAAAGAACGAAAGATCGTAGATGCGCGTAGCTGCTACTGGCACGGTTTGTCCAGCTTCATATTGATTTGTTAGTTGAAGTAATTGTAGAAATAAGGATTAGACTTGCTTGCGCCTGCGAAGCCTACCACATTGATCAATATCCCAGCAACGTAGGCGACGTAGGCTCTTCATTCAAAAGTTGGACATCCCCTCGTAAGACAGAGATTGCAATACTAACCTTATGTTGAAACCATAAGAATAGTAGTACCATCCATCCTTCTTGGCGTCATATAAGTCACTGACGCGATATTGCCCCTTGTGAACGACGTAGTAATCCGCAAGCTACGTCATTACGTTAGGGTATACGACTCGACGAATATGCGGATTCACTTACCATAACTCCTGCTATAGAGCTGAGGAATACAGCATATGCCGAAAGATATGTCGTGAAGTTGTTGCTACTCTTTAACAGGTTCCACGGAAGCATGCACAGGCCGACAATGGCAGCAATGTAACCTCCGCGACGGATGTTCTGCAATATCAATTCATCCACACGTGCAATGTATTCGATTGAATGACGCACGATGAAGCGAGGGAAAAGTGCAGTGAGATCACAACCGGCACTGACAGAATTTGCCGTCAAATTGGTTCTACAGGCATAAATCAATGGTGCGGTTTATAGTGGTGAGACACTGGCGTCTTACCCCATCTATTTGATGATTGAAACCCCTTGTTACCATGCATACGCGGACGTGGACATTAGCGACACACCTGAGCAATTATAAAGGCGACAGCAATAAACCACACCTGCTTTTTATTGTTAGTCTAAGTGGCGCATTGCAAAAGATATTTACAGCACCCCGAACCGCGTCGCATGTGACGGAGTGTTATCCAGGAACATATTGAGTAGATCAACGGGCGACCAGACGACTTCCCCGTAGATAGCTTGTGACGATGAGCTGACAATTATACCGACAAAACAAATAACACCAAAATCGAGAGGAAGTGAAATCAGTTGTGGTAAGAGTGCGTCTGACGGCTTCGTTGAACGAGACGCGAAATCCGGAGCGTTGCTGTTAATGAGAAATCAAGTGAGCCCATCATTTGTCAACGTGCAATGAACAATTCGCACGTTATAAGAGTGATCATGCCATTCACACATGCCATACAGCTGACAACGATTGCCCAGCCCAACTGGGAGCCGTGTATTTGCGCAGGTTGGTGCACGATCGGACCCACGCCACGGGCTTTGACGATGCACCAAATGAAAAACACGATACCGGCTATGGAGACGACGATCGCCTTTACTGTGAACAGGTGCCGTCTGGCTAGACGTTCAGGAAATGAAATAAGTGCATGAGATACTGCGACTTACGTACACTTTATGGATCGGCAACCATATGGCAGGAAGGGAGATAATCCAGAATAAAAGGAAGCACATAAAGTCTCGTGTATTTGTTCCGGATGACTCAGGCATTGAATTGGCTGTTCATGACATTAGGATGGAAGCGACGCAAGCACGCACTCAACCTACTCACGGATGTTATTGACACTTGGCCACATTGCTCGGAGCATAACGAGCACGCAATCACCACCTATGCTTGCCTGTACACCATACCAAATGCTCGATGATGGTCAGAATAAAGAGGTCACTATACTGCTTTATGACTTACCACGCCATTGCCGCCCGGTTGAGGACACACCACAAGCTACCCCAAAGACCAAAGCTAGCGCGAGCGACCACAGGGAATGTAATGTGGAACACCGCACCCGGTCGGGCATTCAATACAAGGAAAGGGGCGGTGATGCCGTAGCCTATCCATACACAAATCCACGCTTGCCACCACGAAAGGCCGAGCTGGATCATAGAGGATGCGATCATCCATCTACAAAGATATGATAAGCCAAAGCGAGGCATCGTGGCATGTTCGTCTTACGTATTGATGTTGAAGGAGTCAGCGACCCAGCTACGTCAGGTAATTGGTCAATGTTATCAAAAACGCCTTACTGAGAAGTGATCAAAAGGCCTACAAAGAGACAAAGTTCCACGCAGCCCATGTACGCTTCCCGACTGGTACGGGAAGGAGATCGTCATTCTGTGGTGGAAATCAGCTGAGGCTTGGCATATAGCATTCATGAAATTTACCGAGAGGAACGATTCGGTAAATGATATTTGCGCTTCATGGCCTCTATGATCCTCGACCTCTAATGCTCGGATGAATCTCCTCCACAGCTTCGCGGAAGCCATGGCTCTTGCCTGGTTTGCTCAAGGGAGCGTAATGGAAATCTCCTTCGAGATGCTCCTGTAGATATACCCCTTATGCATTCTTCTATTTCATTAACTCAAAGTGGTAGCTTTACGGCAAGAAGACAGATGCCGATATCACTATATTCAAAGATAAGCTGGCGTCCTTTGGTAGTATATCCGAGCTTGTCTACGACCACGATAACGAAAGCAAATTTAGTTCAAAGCACTGAAAATCTTTGCTATCGAGGCAGTTATAACCGGCCCTAGTCTTGCGGCTCGGATGCGGGGCGTAGTACCTGTGTTATATAAAGCAAATCCCGTGCATGGACACAATCAGATTGATGACACACGAGAACGTAAGATGAGACATAACATAGTCAAGCTGTGGGCCACGCCGACAAAGCTATACGGCGTTTGTCTGAGCTCTGTCACCAACGCGTAGTACTGTACAAAGAGGCTCCCGAAGTTGTCGTAGTCCTACAAACAAGACCAAACTTGGTTGATTTTGCTCGCCCATTCCGAATGGCCCCCAGTCACCATCACCGACCCCCAAACTCACTCAATCATAGAAGCGCCCGCATCAGAGGCATTAAGCACGGACAGGTACATTTCAGGGTTGACTACATAGACGAGGTATTTATTGCGCCCTCGCACCAAGCATCAAACGATGGGCCCTTTAGATCGACGTGGGAGACGCAAACCTTATTCGGGAAGGGCCACGTGACCGACGCGCGAAGCGGTGGCTGAGTACTCCAGTGTCTATTTCAGACATGCTACAGCTCGTAGAACTGCGCTTTTATATATCTCAATGGCGGGCATCAAATAAGTAAATATTAAGATGTCTCCAAAATTATTTGGGGATTTACAAGGTCCCTAAAAGAGCTTGAACCGAGCCCGGTGCATGTCCCTGATCCCAAGCGCGCTGCATAGCGGCGGGTTCCGCATGTCCCATGAAGGGTTCTTGCAACTTATTTCTTGCTGGGACATGCAAAACTTGGCGGTGGCAGGCCTCGACTTGCTCAAGCCGAATGACACGCCTCTGCAGTGCTATCAGCAGCTACATACCCTAGAGAAGGATTTCGGAGGCGTCATTGTCAAACTGACTTGAAGTGGTGGAACAGCGCTCCACCACGTCACCATCATCTCAATTGTATTAACAGCTTCAGTAGCGGATGCAGATCCTAGCCCTGCGAATGTACGCTCTGATTCTGCTAAGCGGCATTGTGAAGCTCGCAGATGTATCACGCGAGAATGGCAATCCCACGGCTCGACTTCGCGATGATGCAATCCAACATTGATGGTATTGCGTGTAACGTTGAACACCATGGAATATTCTCCTCTTTGCGAACGGCCACGATCCGAATGCGGATACCACTGCATCCTCAAACCTGAAACGATCACAGGAATAGCGCCACCCAGCGTAACAGTTGGTTATCTGCTTGCCTTCATTCACCTCTATTCACTTGTCGCCACAGCGCCGTGGACATAGAGAACGACAAAGCCAGCTTCCAGAATTGTTGGATCGGGAATCAAGGGGTCGATCAAAACAGCGACCGGAACAATGCCGGTATTACTCACCTCGATTAACACGCGAACTGAGGACTACCGAACAGTCAGCATCGCACATAGAGGCGCGGTAGATAGAAGCACTACAACTTCCTGTATCCGCAATTGCTGAAGCCCCGGTACGTCCAGTCAATTGATATAGGCATCGATAATGTGCTATGGCGCGGCTGTTGTGCACGCGGTGTGATCTTCCGCGGGTATCTGATTTACTTTCGTACCAGATTGCCTTTTGGAATGCTGCCTCTTATGAGCCTTAAGTTTCCAAGTTGCCGCATGCTCCACATAATCATCCGAGGGCAAATACCCATGCGCGGAACGAGTGCCAGAGTGTAAAGGTAATCGGCGGCTCTGTTCCTAATCCAATCGCACAGCGATCGCATGGCGCACTGCTCTATGTACCGCTCGAGACCGTGGTCCATCTCCATTGGTGCGTTCTCCGGCTTCGGGATTTGCACTTCCCAACGTTTGATATCTTTATCGATTTGCGGGACTCTCCTACTGCCGTTCTTTGCTGGCGCATTCCTCTTCACCATATGCGTCTATCGCATTGTCGACCGGCATAATAACCAGGTGTCGGCATACGCACACACGCTCCATGCGCTTCTGCGCCCTTGCCCGCATGATCTTTGGTTTGTGCCGATGCATGCGACCAAAATGTGACCCAGATTGCCACTTTCAGCGTTCGTGCCTGGTCGTTGCCATGCCGTGCTCAGTACTGCTTCCGTTCGCGGCAGGGGCTGGTGTAACTCCCTGCCATCCGCTATGGTATACAGCCATGCGCTGCATCTCAAAGATTTATCCGAATATCGGTGTATAAAGGGCCACAGAGGGGGAAGGCCAGTTGGTCTGCAGCTCGCCTTCAAGTCTTTTCCGGCTTCGCCATGTTGCTCCACGCAGTTGCGTCGGGTCTCGCTCTGGCCGCTCCCATTGTGGCCCAGCAGATCTACGACATCGTCAGTGGCTATTGTATTGCCGTGTTGGTCTGTGTGGATCCTGACCGCAGTTCGATCGTGCTCATACAGTGGTCAACAACATGGCAGCGGGACAACCTCTTTACCTATAAAAATCTGAACCCGAATCCCATCAACTTCGTATCTCCGGGCTCCACAGGCACGTCGGACATCGTCGTCACGGACTCGACGGTGTATCAGCAGATGATAGGCTTCGGTGCCGCACTGAGTGAGCATGCGCGGATTTGATGCGATGTTGATTGGCCGTGCTTACGTGATTGCTTCTTCACAGCTGATTCGTCCGCAAAGCTGTTAAGCGAACTGAAGGTGTGTCTTAAGACATTTAATCGATGGCTTGTTATGCTTATCATCATTTGTGGTAGTCAACGGACTCGGACACCTACTGGGATCTGCTCAATTTGCTCTTCGATCGTAAGTCCTGTCCGATCATTTGTGGCTCCCGCTCAGATAGTGTTACGAACGTATTCAGCTACGGATGGTGGGAGCGGCGCGGGTTTCACCTACCTCCGCATCCCTCTCGGTGCATCCGACTTCTCTGCTTCTGGTAGGGCTTCATATCGCTCACACGTGCTCAGTCTCGTAACGTACTGTTTGCAGTATATAGCTTCGACGATGTCAGCGGGGATACTTCCCTTTCCAGCTTCAACATCAACAACGCCCCATCCTACTTGTTTAGCACCCTTCAAGACATCGTTGGCATCAACAGCTATCTTAAGATCCAGATCACGCCCTGGTCACCTGTGAGACGAGTTGGTCCCATATAAGATGCAGTCCGCTAACGTGTAGTGTTGCAGCCGGGATGGATGAAGGACAGCGGAACCATGAATGGCGGAAAGATGTACACTTCCTACGCCAGCGTATGTATGTAGCGATATTTCTTCGCCTCTGGTCACAGTGCGTTCTAATGACGACAACGCGACAGATGCCAACTACCTGCTCAAATGCCTACAAGGCTATCAGAGCAAGGGATTCTCCATCTGGGCTATCAGTATTCAAGTGTGCATTTCCACCTCTGCTGCTCAAGTGCTACGCTCACGTATGCTAACCTATCGTACTGTATCTCCATTATGAAGAACGAACCGCAGAATAGTAACCCGTCCTACCCGACTAACCTGATTGACCCGTATTGGGAGGGCCAGGTGGCCACACAGCTGCGCTCTCTGATGAACGAAAACGGCTTCTCCGACACAATCATCATTGGCTACGACCACAACTGGGACGACGCCGGAGAGTACCCTGTCGAGCTTGTGCGTCCTGCGCATTTTGTTTTATTCATGGGCATTGCTACATGCAATATGTATGTCGCAGATGGAGGATGCGGCGGCGGCGTTTGACGGCGTCTCGTTCCACTGCTATGCTGGGTCGGTCAGCGACCAAGAAACGTTTTACAACGCCTATCCGTCGAAGAACATCTACTTCACGGAGTGTACCGGGGAGTTCAATAGTGACTGGTGGAGCGATATTAAGGCTAGTGTTCCCAACCCCCGACTGTTGAATGTCAGCTGACCTTTCATTTTATAGTGGTACCTGAACAACATGTAAGTATCGAGGGGCTACGTTCCGCCAGTCTTTGAGATTACTGACCGCGCCACTCTTGCAGTTTCATCGGCAGCGTGAATTACTACTCGCGTAACGCCGCAATGTGGAACCTCGTGCTCGACGGTGAGGGCAATCCGAAGACACCTGGCACGACGAGCTGCGGTGGATCTGACCCGTGCCGTGGTGTCGTCACTGTCAACAGCAACGGCACATACCACTTGAATCAGGAGTGTGCGTACTATTTGTCACTTTGTAGACATCATTCTGCGATAAGGTCCGCTGATGTGCACTTCCCACAGTCTACGCGATTGCGCAGGCATCCAAGGCAATTCTTCCAAAAGACAGCGGAGGGCCGTTTGGTCAGCGTATTGAGGTCGCCGTCAATGGCAACCAGAATCTCGTCGTGTCCGCTTTCGTTACTCACCGCGTGTCCTCATCCGACTGGCTCCGCTACAGTTTGGTCGTACTGAACCAGTAAGTACACCCCTTTTATCTGGTAAACAAGATGAATGTAGAGTTCCCGCTCTTTTAGGAACGATGACAACAATGGCTCCTGGGATCCGGTGAACATTGAGGCCACAATTGAGTTCAGGGGTCAACAGGTATCATAATCATAGATACTCCACGAGAATCAGTTCACTCATTCACGTCTAGGCAACATACACTTTCCCTGTCGGCGTGACTACTCTCTGGTGGTATGCTGCCTCGGAATAAGTGGTATCGGGTTATCTCGCATTGCGTGTGCTGATTTGTATGCATCTTCGGTTAATTGCATGTTCGCTAGGGACGCATCCGCTCAATTGTGTGTTTTAAAGCACGTAGCACGCCCCTCTGTAGTCACTGTGGTCACTTACATCTAATGTTAGTCTTGGGCCTGCACCGTTATCACGCCGCATGTGATATATGCTCAAGCATACACATGTCTTTTCAATATGCAGTGGTGTTTGTACGCAGCGACTCGTTGCAAGGTCGTCTTGATGAAGGTATGTCCCGCTGAAGATTGGACGGATGATCTTCGGCACCTTTAAGCCGTGGTTGATAAGCCGCCATATTCACGTAAGTATCAGAAGCCATCTTGTAGTGACAGCGCTGAGCGCTCGATCATCGCCAAATTTGAGACGGGACTGTTACCTTCGATCTACAGTCATCGAGTTATGAGGTGTCGTGGTCATTTCGGGTCCGAGACGGATGCGAATGCGAGCGATCCTGACCGTCAACTTCCGGTACTTCGGCTACATCAGCACGAGACCACTCGCTAACGAAACCCATGCTGAGCACTGCAAGGAGCTTTCCAGAAGCAAATCTCATAAGCTCAAAGTTCATCGCTACGTCTTCTAGACTCGGTCCCATTACGTGCAAAACTTACTTAGGGCGCGCCGCAGCGATCGATTTTCGAGTTCTAGCCCTCAATCTTATTCACGATGTGATACGGCCTAGTAAGGTGCTCTGAAATGATCTTCATGACACTGCACTGACGAACCTGTGCCAGCTCTCGCTCTCGGCGCCGGAAGTGACCGATTGATAGCGAACCTAACCACTCTGTCACATGAGGCAGGGAAGCAGTACTGCTGTTGACCACCCATCAGCATTCCCGTAATCTATGTATCTCTCAGAGATCGCGCAGTATTTAATCCTGCCTACCGAAGGCGGGGACCCATCCCGTCAACCGACGCTCACGCCAAAGTCGTATTCCTTGCTATCATGTCTTCTGCGGCATCCGCAACAGCGATTCAATCTGAGGGCGTGTACGGACCGTTTCATCGTTTGCAATTGCAAATACATCGCTTACCTGCATTTCAGGCTCACACTAAATTACACAGTACTGGCCATGACGAGTAAATCCGAATCTATGTCCATGTAACAAATCGTATCTGAGAACCTGTTCTGTCAGCCTTTTACTTGTACGATTGGCTTCTGAATTTTGATCGAGAGTGGCAAGTCGTCTGGACCCGGAAGCTAACTGGAGCCAGCATTCTGTACATTCTGAACCGCTACGTCGGCATCATAGGTCAAGCCCTATCGATTGCATGCCGCTTTGCCCATCTACCCTGTACGGTATGTGGCATGTGATTGGCATGGTCACTCATACAGTGTGCTCACAATTGTTGATTCAGAGGTCAGTCCTCATATTTGTCAATTCGCGATGTCGTGTAAACCAATGTAGTAGCGACTACGTAATATTCCAGCTTTCGAATGGGTTCATCGTTCTGCAAATCACTATCTGGGCAGGTTGGTTGATGATGCTTATATTATTGCAGCAGTGGCTAAGGTACTCGTCCTCGATCGCAGCGTTCTCGAGCTTGCGGGTGTACGGGATTTGTGGTCGTCAATGGAAAATACCACTTCTAGTGATCATCTTCGGTATGGTCCCTGCAATTTCAAATTTAGTGAGTACATACGTCCACCGATTGATGACGGTATATTGATACATCGGTACTTGGAGGTATACTTCATAAAATGGAGAGTTATCCGCTCTTCTCCAAGCTCCTGCGACATCGAAGTGACCATTGACCCGATCAGTCTGAAGCGGTAAGCCGGAAACCTGTATCATGAGTATTAACACTGTCTGACATCTTTCAAGACGTAAATTGATACGCCTCTCTGAGCCGAGTATGATTAATAATATCTGCCGTAGTTGTGATTTCCACAGAGATCTTTCAATGCACCGCTGATGCCTTAACCCTCGGCGCAACGTGGTGTTCTACTTATCGCACGAGAAAGCTCGCCCGTGCTGTCAATATTAAACCAACCATTTCCCAACTCCTGTTAAGAGATGGTGAGCATTGCTACTCTTGGGGCCCATAATTTTGATCGAGCCATTCTGCAGGCACTCTGTACTTCGGGTATTGTGCCTCTCCTAGTTTTTCTTATATGTACTGAAGTCCAGAAGCGCTTGTTTCATCCTGTCCATGCTCCAGATCTTCTTCATTTGCGTGTTTGAGGTGAGTATAAATACTGCTCTTGAGAATCAGCCGGTTTCCTCATAGATCTCCCCTCAGATTCGGACACTCCAATTTGGTTACTTCTCTCAGCCGTACGGCGCTCAATGGCCACCATGCTGTCAAGCTGACATGTCTATTTCCAGAATCACCTCGTCCCTTTTATCTCACCTTTTCCTCCATTTACGTCAAGTATATTACACAAAAGAAGACACAATCTATACAACCTCTGCGTTAAGCGAGGCCCGGTTTGTCCCCAACCTATTTGTTGGAAACATGGGCGCACCTCTCGCAGACGGGAATTCCCTCTCAGTATCGTCATCGCTCTCATCAGGCGATTATCTTCAAGAAATATGTGGAGCAGAGGACTTACTTAGCGAAACTGAGTCCGACGACACTCTATCTGAGGACGAAACGTGGGTTGTTCGGGAGCCGTTCAGTTTCGGTATAAAGACCATAGTCTCGGAGGACATTCAGGTGTAGACCACGGTCAGTGTGCAGTACGGAATATCTGGAGCACGATACTTACATTGTGTTTAGCATTGCGCTCAGCAAATATTCTTTCAAGCGGTCACATGCATCGCGACGCGTCGCGCGTCGTATTGGTCATGTGACCGCGTCGGTGTGCACGTCCGATCAGATCCGACTCTGCACACATCAATGCATCACCGCTCAACAACGCTTCGTAGAACATACCTCGGATACAGAGGATCGATATGCATCTGCTGTAAATCACTGTCTTATGACCAATGACCATCCCGTAACTCGAAAATCAAGAAAATGATATCCACGATGCTCTCAGGCTCATAAAAGGCCCAAATTTAAGACACTGCCATCAGCAATCATGTGTCTCAGACTGAGACAACCTTGATTTCCCATCATGCTCTTGGTGTATTGTCACCAACGCCAAGTTCACTCCCGAAGCAAGCGGGGCTAATCGTATGGCGCAATTTACTCTTGGTGTTCCACCCGCTCTGGATTTGGCATTGCCTGGAGTCTGATACCGTCTCTGCTTGAACTTCGATCAATGTTCCTCACTGACTCGATCACAGTGCCGCCTGCACGATTGAGCACATCGAGATGCAGTTCTCGTCTCCTGTTTGAAATAGAGCTTGGCGTTGAATCCTTCCCGGTCGCTATGCCGCGCTAGGTACTGCCTTCGTTTGCGGAGGATCCTAGACCGGCCCGTGACGTTCACAGCGTCCTGCCACCATGTGCTGTTTTTCTAGTCAGCCCGAGTAAAGCGTATAAAGGCACAAGGCACAAGCTCGCAATTGCTCGTTAGTACTCCTCGCCATGTTGTTACACGCAGTTGCATCGAGTCTTGTTCTGGCTGTCCCCATTGCAGCCCAACAGATTTATGACATCGTCTGTGCTTATCTTGCCAGACAAAACATGATGCTGACATGTCGCATTACTTCAGTGGTCAACAACATGGCAGCGTGACAGCCTTTTCACTTACAAGGACCTTTCTCCGAACCCTATTGATTTTACGAGCCCGGGGTCCACAGGAACGTCGGACATCGTCATCACGGATTCAGTCCATGGTCGGCTTCGGAGCCGCGCTGAGTGAGTGACCACAGGCTAGGTGTTCCACAAAGCTCTCAGACCTATATAATACCTTCTTTACAGCTGATTCCTCTTCGAAATTGTTGAGCGAATTAAAGGTGCGCATTCATTGCAGATACGGCCCTTGATACACATTGATGCATTCCTCGCTAGTCAAAGAATGCGGGCAATTATTGGGCTCTCCTCAAGAAGCTCTGTGACCGTATGTTGAGTCGCTGTATCTGAAGTTTGGCTTCTGACTTTAAAACGCCTTTCCAGCCACGGACGGTGGAAGCGGCGCGGGTTTCTCCTACCTGCGCATTCCTCTCGGTGCATCATATTTTTCAGACTCTGGTATGCCTAGAAGTCATCGATTAGTAGACGGTCGTACCTCACACATTGCGTGCAGTGTACAGCTTCGATGATGTCAGCGGAGACACATCCCTCTCGCACTTCGACATTGACAAGGCCCCATCGTATCTTTTCAGCACCCTCAATGACATCGTCGGTATCAACAGCTATCTCAAGATCCAGATCACGCCTTGGTCGCCAGTTGAGACTGCGTGCCTTTCTCGCATATATCTCGCTCATTTGACTATTTCAGCCGGGGTGGATGAAGGATAGCGGAACCATGAACGGCGGAAAGTTCTATACCTCGTACTCCGACGTTTGTACCTTTGCGGGAACTGCTCTGCTTGGACCTACCGCGCGTTGTGTAGTCATCTAAAGATTGTGTCTGATCAGACACCAACTATCTCCTCAAGTGCCTGCAAGGCTACAAGAGCAAGGGTTTCGACATCTGGGCGATTAGTATCCAGGTGTGTATTCTCGCTGTGCCTCGATTATAACGGACATAGTAACACTGCACTATTATTAGAACGAGCCGCTCAACAGCAATCCCTCGTACCCGACGAACCTCATCGATCCGTTTTGGGAGAGCCAGGTGGCCACCAAATTACGCTCCCTCATGAACTCGAACGGCTTTTCTGGTGCGGATGTAATCGGGTTTGACCATAACTGGAGTGATGCGGATGGGTATCCTGTGGAACTTGTGCGTCATTCCATTTCGGTTTTACTACGTACCCATCTACATACTCTTCACATCTCGTCCAGATGGAGGATGCGGAATCTGCGTTTGACGGAGTATCGTTCCACTGTTATGCAGGCTCAGTCAGCGACCAGGATACATTCCACAATGCGTATCCGTCGAAGAACGTCTACTTCACGGAATGCACTGGCGAATTCAACAGCGATTAGTGGAGCGACGTCAAGGTCCGCAGTCTCGTGTCCCAGTCTCTACCTTGAATCATCTGACCACTTTTCGTCTTGTAGTGGTATTCGAACAACATGTGAGCCTCTGATATCTATAGAAGAATGCATGTTTGTACTGAACTCTTGATCCCTAGCTTCATCGGGGCTGTGAACCACTACGCACGCAATGCAGCTGTGTGGAATCTTGCGCTCGATGGGAACAGAAATCCAAAGCTTCCCGGAACCACGAGCTGTGGCGGCTCAGACCCATGCCGCGGCGTTGTCACTATCTTCAGCGACGGCACATATGGGCTGAACCAGGAGTGTACGTATCATCTCGCATTCTGTCTAGTAGAGCGTACCTCTGAACGAGGGCACTGATTCCTACACTCGCACAGTCTACGCCATTGCACAGGCATCTAAGGCGATCTTGCCCAAAGATAAAGGCGGCCCCCTCGGCAGGCACATTAAGGTAGACGTTGGCGGCAACCAAAACCTCGTCGTGTCCTTTTTCGTGACAGAGCGCACGTCCTCGTCGGACTGGAACCGCTACAGTCTTGTTGTGCTGAACCAGCGAGTGTCTCGTCGTACCATCATAGAAAGGTCGGAAGTAATACTAATATCCTATCCATGAATGATGAGAACGATGGTAAATGGGATCCTGTGGGCATCAAGGCGACAATTGAATTCAGGGGCAAGCAGGTACGTATCCGCAACCATGAGAGTAATGCGCAATGACTGATGCCAAACATTACGCAGGCAACATATACCTTCCCTGTGGGTGTCACTACCGTCTGGTGGTACGCAGCGCCACAATAAATGATGACAACACCATGCAAACCGGCGGATTGGCAATGACATCCAGCACGCACGACATTCCTTACGTCTTTTTGCAAAATTGATACATAATTAGTCTAGTATTCATGAGCCCTAGCAGTCGGATATCCTGCTGTTCCTGCCGCACGAAATCTACCTAGTCCACCTCACCGGTACTCATTTGGGTTTCTGTCAGCTTCATATTTATCTCAGCATGTTTTTGCGCTCTTTACGAATGCAGCCACTCGCTTTATCGCACTCACTCCTGCTGGATACGCCTCGAATCAAATCTCGCTATTGTAACAAGGTCACTGCATATCGTACACGCACTCACACCATCTGACTGGATATCCACTCCCTAGTATACTCACTGCCTACGCCTAATTGAGGCGTCAATCAGTATAGGTAGCGGAAACCTCTCTTGCGTTCCAGCGCCTGCTCGAATGTGAGGCCCTCCAGTTTGGCAGCATCCTCGATACGCTGCCGCCCTGCACCCTTAAGGAAATCCAGCTCGGCTTTCTCCAGTTTTTGGTTTTCCTTGATCAGCATGCATCGAACGACTTCGTCGGATATTAGCGAGACCGTTTTGAGCGGCGAGATTTCACTCACCGAATGCTAGAACACTGGCGAAGACAAGAGCTGCGAGTCCAATGTACATGGATTGATGATATTCAGGGCTCCATTGCGACTGCCATGTGTAGGAAGCAATGCTATGGAGCTGGTGAGCATAAAATGCTGTGTAATGAGAGTGCCCACTGACAGATTTCCAAAATTGCCGAAACCATTCACTATACCGATGGCTGCGGAGCGTTTCGCGGGTGGGCGAGGGATGGCGTTGGAGACCCATACGGCCGTTAAGGCAAAACCTAGGAGGTGTCGCTTGATCCAGTACAATTCATACTCTTGGAACGATGGAACCTACCAGCATATCCACACGCCATCAGGAACAGGGCTACATACCGGGCACCGAGAGACATTGTTGTCACGCCAATAATGTAGCCTATTATGACGCCCCACCAAGGCCAGCACATATGGAAGAAGCGCTCCCCGGTTCGGTCTAAAAATATTTTGAATTCCTGGCATCATAGAGAAGTGGAAGAACATACCAGCGCTGTATGCGTTCGCAGCGCACACAATAGTCGCGAGAATCCAAGGAGGTCTGAGAAGCCGATGAGATCTAGTGGCTTCATACGGTTCGGATCACTCACGCGCAGAGAAGAAGAGTGACGGTTGTCGAGAATCCCATCGTGCCTGCAATACTAAGAAGCATTGATGTCAGAATCACTAGTATTATTCAATGAACAATTGACGCACGTCGGAAAGAAATTGACGAAACCCAGGCCAAGCAGCTGCGAACAACACATCACCGCCATGATAGACACCTTCGGGTCCTTCAATGCCATCATCAAGCCAACCGTAGCACTGGCTCGTTTCAGTGAATCTGATTTTCTAGACAAACATAGGATCTGCTCACGATTCGTTCTTGACATCTTCGTCTGCCTCGCCAGCATCTTCTGCAAGTCTTACTTGAGCAAGCCTTCGCTGCGCTGGCGTTAGCCAGCGTGTGTTGTGTGGCTACGAAACGGCTATATTTAGCATTCGACGTATGAGGTGTAAATGCATCGTACATAGTCAGGCAGCAGAATACTGCATGCGCTTCAGTATGTATTCATCCGGTAGAGATAGCAGCAGACGCACATCGATGCAAAACCAATGCAAACGGTGACCGCCCCCTGTATTTGCTTTAAGTATATGGTATTCATCACGACGAAGATTCTACCTCAATGTAGAACACCCTATGTCATTATGTTCTTCGTCACTTCCGTTCATTCTAGCATCATGACCTGGAGAACTCACCATCTCCAAGCGGCGATACCAAGTTTTCCTTGCATCCCTCCGAGGATTCCTGCAGCGATTAACTACAGTCTCACAGTTAGTGCAATGCACTATCGATGAAGCTCTTCTATCCACGTACACTGCCAAACGCATTCGAGATTAGCAGCCCACCGTAAATGATGGCACCACGGAATGCCAGCTCCTAGATAGAAAATACGCTTAGACTTGCGCTATTAGTCAGTTCATTCGGCTCACTGTTCGAGTGTACCATCGGGAAAGTAGATACATTGCCCCTGGATAGAACGCGGCCTGGCGAGACACATCTCAGATTCGATTTCTGACACGGAATGACATGGCTTACCTCAGGCAGACCAATGAACACGCGGCAGGCAATAATCCCGGCATAGTTTTTTGTGACCTTCGAGTGTGAATAAGCAGATGCATATACGTACACGCAAGCTCAGACGTACCCCTGTGCATGCACTCGTAACCCCCCAAACAATCACACAAGCTGGTATGTAGTAGGATGGTCTATGACAGTTAGCTTGTGTGATGCGGACTCTGGCCTGAATCCTACCTCGATATACGATTCAGTATCTGAGAGGAGCTGTCAGTGTTGGAGTATAGGTTTTGCAGGATGCCCTTACCATATTTGAGGGAATTTGGGCAGGAACGTAGGTGGCATAGAGTACGGCTATGACCGTGTTGTACTGCAGGCCTAGAAAAAATCATCTCGATGAAAGACACATTCATACAGTCAGTGCTGCATACCCGTAAGATGCAAATCTTGTGTTAGGCCTTGCAGTTTTGCAGCTGTCACAGCCACCCGCTTCAGGATACGTCAGACGTCATCTGCGTGATTATTTCCTTGCACTTACATCGATATAGTTGAGGAGAAAAATCACGATAATCGTTGGCAGTAGGCGCATATCGAGGAGGCGTACTAGCTTGCGCTCGGCAGAGGGTCTAATATCTGCATTGAGAAGTTCGCCATCCGGCGCCTCAATGAACCCAGGTGAGGAGCGCTGTTCAATGAGTACGTTGTCCTTCTCGTCGATGCCAACGCTGTCCGAGTCCTTTGTTGACATTTTGGATTGCAGAGACGAAGTCCGAGCGAACGGGATGCAAGTCTCGGGCTCACCAGCACCATCTGGATACATATCTCCTTGCGGGTACCCGACGGCAAAATGGAAGATGGCTTGAGATGCACATTGGACAAAACGTTGGAGAACTCGTGACCGAGAACCTCCACTGCGGAACCAATCTCTTCATGGAAGCACCACACTACAGCCTGCTGCATGACCTTGTTAGAACCATCACGAGGCTCAAGACGGCCAGGCCCTTGTCCGTATATACGACTGTGAGATTATGGAAGGGTGAGGTACTTGAGGATCGCTGGCACTGTAGACCTGCATCGATGTCAAGACAGCACTCTTTAGCGATTGCGAAAAGGTCGCTGGAATTTCCTGCTGCAGCGATCAGCGATTCTTCCGCGAAGGATACCAAGAAACACTCACCTGCACTTCTGCTGTGGAGCGAGTGGTGGTAAACTCCCGTCTCATGATTAGCCCGTAATCTACAGCGGCCGGCTCAGGCACAACATCCTTCCCGAGACGTCCACATACCCTGAACCGGTTTAGCACCAAGAAGTGGTGTGTTTCTCTTCGAAATCTGGACGAGATCCGAAAGATCTGATGGGATGCCGTTAGAAGCAGTCAGCTGTCCCTCTATATAGCGGAGGACAATGCTCGCCTGATCATTTATTGACGGTAGCCACGTCGGATTGCCGTTCATTGTGACGTAACGATTGCGGGGAAGACATGGGGAAAATGCGGGGCGGGCCGTCGAGCCATATCTCTGGCACAATGTAACGCTATGCAAACGCTTGACACATCGGAAAGAATGCACAAGCCACTCCTGCAGTCGCCAAAGCGTGAAGTATCACAGCAGCACCTTCCTCTCACAGCCCAGTTCCTGGTCTATTCCTGACGCATGTCGAGCTTCTAGTAGTTGTGCGATCATACAAGGTCCGCAAAGAAGACGTACCGCATTGGACAGAGCCTGGGGTAGATCCAAGCAGATAACTGAACGCGAACAGTTTCGCAGTTCATGCAAGATAAACACTCGATTGCCGTGCGATTTCGCACGCCTGCCGTGCTCACACCTTCGAGAGTCGAGGATAGCGAGGTGATCTGCACCACACCAAATGCACAACCCTGCGAAGGTACCGAGTTAGGGGTATTGGAGGAGGAAAATGAATGCGAGTATTTCTTGTACTAGTGACAAAGCCACTACAAGATATCCGACAAGGTTGAGGGATAAGGCATGCTGCAATCATTTTGACAAGCTTTCCTGCCTTTATTAGGCCATTTGAACGCGCTCCGGCGACAGTTTAATAGTGTATGACCCAGATGTCCGAGCGCTAGTCTGAGATATGAACTTACTACGGCGGAGGTGTTGTGACGACTATACGCAGCGACCTGCAATACATTCACGCATGCTGTATTACCCCCTTCCAAGTTCGTCATTATCTAGAGCGAACACACCCTGCCTCACCCAATGGTAGGACAGCATGGTGTGCGAGAAAGATCGACCGGCGGAGCAGCAAGCTTCTAGGTCGGGATAAATGTATCGCTCATCTGACCTGCAATGGAGACGCACTATGTACCACACTCTTGCCGGCGGCAAGCAACGCGGAAGGCCATCGCGGAACCTCCGTAAGCATCATAGGTCGCACTCATTGCATATAGGAGAAGAAGGTTATGCAGCTGAGCGCATTATGTTCTGGTTCCACTATACCCTATTGCGTCTGCGAGGACGGTATCCGTATTGCTTGTGCTCAGATGCCAGGAGGGAGCAAATGTACGGCGTTTCCGATTCAAGGTGATCTCCGCTCCCGCGGCTATGTTAGATCGATCTCAGGGCAGACCAGATACAAGCATTTACGCAATTGGCAGTCAAGCATGGTGAGGGGTTCATTACTTCTCGCCTAGAGTAAGGCATAAATGAACCGTAGCTCGATACTAACATTGTCAGGAATGAACATTCACACATTAATCAGCCGAGTGCGCGGCAGCGAGATCTAAAAATACACTCATCGTTCTATATTTCTGCTTTCGACAACAGCACGCTTTCACAGCTACCTAAACTCGGGGATAAGATCGTCTCCCTTCCCTTTCGTCAAAAAGTCCCTGAGGTTTGTAAGCGCCCTAATCTCCATTTTCTTCTGAGAGTCACACGTCTCGGTGCCCATGTGTGGAAGAAGTGCCGCATTGGGGAACTCGAATAGCCGAGGGTTGACTTGTGGCTCGTCGGGGAAGACGTCTAGGCCAATGGCCCCAAGCTGGAAAGCGTTGTATCAGGAACGGCATCTCGAAATCTGCTGAGAACGTACATGTCCGTCCTCCAACGCCCTTATCATCGCAGCCTCATCGATGACCTTCCCTCGCGCCGTGTTAACAATCACCGCCCCCTTCGGCAGTTTCCTGATCATCTTCTCGTCGACCAAGCCTGTCGTCTGGACGTTCAGCGGCACATGCACGCTGAGCACCTCAGCACTCGCGAGGAATTCGTCCAAACGGTCCGAACCATAGTACTCGCACCACTCCGGCGCGTGCGGAACCTTGCGTCGGTTGTGGTAAATTACGCGCATTGGGAACGCGTGAACGAGGTGTGCCAGACGCAGGCCAATCCCGCCCATGCCAAGGATGGCGAGCGTGCGCCCGGTGAGGTCGTGCGCCTCTCCAGCAACGTGCGCGTTTTTCCACTGCCCCACGCGGACGGAGCGCTCCGCCTTCGAGAAACAGCGCAGCGCAGATATGAGCAGGAATAGCGCGGTCGTGGCCGTCGCGTCATCGACAGCTCCAGGTGTGTTCGACACAAAGATGCCTATTGCGCGCGGTTTCAATACGTAAGTATCTGAGTGAGTGGGTATATGCGCACCTTTCTCCTTGCAATATAGCACATCAATCTGGTCATAACCCGCGCCGTTGTGAGCAATCCATTTCACCCCCGCTGCCGCAAGGCCGTCAATAATCTCTCGATCGAACAGGCCGATTTGCGCGGAGGAGACGTTATGTCTGTAGAAACCAACGATTCCCTCGTACTTTCCTCCTGGTTTCAGTCCAGCCAGGAAGTCCGCTCGATTGGCAGAGTCCATGCGCTACAAGACGTCAATACGAGACAGGATACGCTGGACATCATACGTACGACTACATCAGCAAGACCGCTGAAAAGTTCCTCACTCTCCTTATGCGCCCACACTAAATCGCCTGTATATGTCGTAAATTCACGTCGGCTGCACAACGCTGCGAGAGGTCTAGGACACTTACCGCATATCATTACACGAGGCATAATGGAGAAATATTTCAACAAACGGAGATGAAAGTCGAAAGCAAATAGGAGCCAGCGGGTTCCGGGCAAGAGGTCTTATAGTTCGGGCCGTTTGCGTGTCCCCTCAACGATATGCCCTTGTCCATCATCCTGTACGGAATATCCCCTTCCCCGGAGTCCCGAGACGCATTCCACTTGTGTCCGCCGTTGATTCCTGTGACCGTGCGCCTGAAGTCATCGGTCCGGAAAACCGCCGCAGGGTAAGTTCACAGTCATTACGATAACCAATATCAGATAAGACAAGAAACAGATACATTAGTAGTGTAGCGTCAGTGAGCTCGATGTTGGGTAACAACGACTGCGCAATCGGAGGGGGTGCCGACGGGGTGCCACCTGGTGCCACAGCAGAGGTCGACTCAACCAAGCCATTTTTGGCGGAGCTTCAACCTGGCCGAGTCTCCGCTTAACGCCAAGATAACGACATTTTCCCCACCCGCCATCATCTCTCACAGAATCACGGAATGCGAAGTCGTCAGTCTCGCGCTCAACGCAAGTCTCACATCCGACGCAGGAGCACCTCTCCAGCGCCCGGTGAGCATATCGAGGCCAAGCGCCAGCATCTCAAGCGACGACGACACAAGGCGCGCAAACAGAAGCCACAAGCCACCGAGAAGCGACCGTCTACCACCATTGATCATGCAACCGTCAAAGCAAGGAGAGTGCTATGGGCAGCGATGGCGGCGGAGACGCGGGACATTGTACTAGGGGATGGCCAGTACGTCGAGGAGCGCCTCATGTCTGCTGTTGACAGTGCTCTAGCTCAGCCCCCTCATCAAGGACCCGAACCCGCCGCATGCACGCCCGTCGCGCACGACATCTCCATGCAAGTCATGCTTAGTCAACAGGGTACTACATCCTACCCACATTACTCAACCGCTCTCGCCATGTGGTCTCAGAAACCCGCGTTCACCGCCACGCGGTCGGCCACTACGTTCGAGTTCACGCAACATTCCACGCTCACAGCTGCTCGCCGCATCGCGCTCACGACGCCCGACCTCCACTCATCCAATCACTCGCAGACATCGCTCGGAATACTCTCGTACGCATCTCGTCGGAGACCCGGTGGTGGATATCTGCGTGGCGGTGACGAGCAGCACGAAAGAATCGCACGACATAGCTCGCTGGTGGCCAGTCTCACGGCACCTGCAGCGCAGGAATTCTACAAGGAGCATCGAACCTTCTGGCAGGAGGACGGTAGTGGCCTGCAGGACCATGCTATGGTGTATTCTCCAGGTGTAGTCGTATTCCGGCGTGATCGCGACGATTCGCTCGCTCTCGTTGGTGCCAATGCCACCACGGTGGAGCTGCCACCTCCAGCAGATTCCATTGGCGGCGAGTTCATTGCCCCGTACCTCGTCAATGTGGTGTCGTCGGTGCCGGTCAACGCAGCAGCCGTCCGTTCCAAGCATGTGATCAAGCCATGGGAGAAGGAGTTCTTCGAGAACGGGATCCGTCATGCGATGAAGGAGCGCATGGCGAGGATACTGCGACTGCTCGAGAAAGAAGGCAATCGGGTCATTGTACTTGGTGCGTTCGGTTGCGAATCCAGCCAGAACAAGGTAGAGACCATTGCAGAGGTGTGGGCAGAGTTGCTAGTCTCGGGGCACCTGAATAAAGAAGGGCACAGGATCGAGGCGAGGTTCAAAGACGTCTTTGAGAAGGTGGTGTTCGCGGTTCCGGGGAAGCTCTTTGAGCCCTTCCGGCACGCGTTCGAGCTGCGCGTTCTCGAGACCCGAATCTCAGAAGTCACGGTGTCGGGTGATATTTAGGTGCTTTCTAGCTTCCCGTTTCAAACAATGTACTCATTCATGGATGGATAGCTGTAGTGTACTAACCAGAATTGTGTATCATCTTCTCGTATGTTTCACGTTGTACGTATTACTTAAGCCTTATTGACTCGTTTCACGTGGAAATTCCCTAAAGCATGAGCATATTCGCAGTGGTGATTCGGGGCGGAATGATACTAGTACCGCCGCGATGGATACCCCGGTGTGACCTCTTTAAGCAGTGGTGGCACATAAGAGAATACGCGAAGATGATCGCGAAAGATGCTATAACATCATATGCGACTGTGAGGGTGAGTGGGCGAAGTATTGCCTCAGCTTGAAGAGAACGCTGCCATCTGAGTCGTACTCGAGGCAGGGCTGGAGCGTTGAACGCCGAGGTACTAGGACCGCGGCGAATCCTCCAGAAAAGGCGGCTTCTGAAGTCAAAAAGCGACATGTGAACCCCTGGAAATGAGCCGCGGACGGCGGTCAAGTGACATGCCAAACACCCCCGAAAGCAAGGCCTCCGGGCCGAGGTATGATCCTCCGTCTCCCGAAATTATCATTCAGGGCAGTCCACCCGGCGTTGGACTGAGTGCCGAAACGTGCCGACGAGGGTGCGTGACGTCACTTGAATACTTCTTGATACCAAATTTCGAACCTTTGCATTGTTGGATTTACCTCTCCATATTTAGCGCTATGGAAGATACGGACGCACAGCAGGATCACTCCAGTCTGCGCACACCGTGCAATCCTCTCGACGCTTCCAAGGCATCATCTGACGCGCTCCCTGGTCAATCAGCGAACGAAGACAGCATCAACGTTCCCAATCATCAGCATCCAACGACGCCTCCACGACCTACTGCCCCTGCATGCTCGTCGAATAAACCTGACACGCCTGCAGTTTGTTCAGACAGCTTTCGAACAGGATCACTTAGTGAAAGAGAGGACGCAGTTCTCGCGGATATTCGCTGCTTGCGCTGCATGAGCGTGGATGAGTTCATCGCAATATTCCTACCCACCCTTCCGGATGATATCGACATTGAACATGTTCTCACAGCATTGGCAAACAACCCTCAAGGCGCCTTGGATTCCTTCAATCAAAACTCCACAGGAAAAGAAGGAAGCCGATCTGAGTCTTAACGAAGATAAATTGTTCGAAAGGATTGTCCTGTTAGTTCAACAGTTAGCGACGGAAGCATCGAAAATGTCGTCGCGAGAGCAGACGTTCGAGTATGCCTTGGAGCCAACAAAAATACCGACGACTGTGGAGAGAAAAAGCTCGTTCAGGCCAGATGGCGTATTTTGCAAGAAAGGCGGCTCATCGAGCTCATACTATGACATCGCACTGCCAATGGAGTTCAAGATCTTCGACGCGGATAAATCAAATTACGATGTCAGCCTTTCGTTACAATAGGTGAATACACTCGCATAGACCTGCAGGAAGATTATCTACGCCATGCAACACATCATGTCGGTGGACCCATGTCGTAGATTTGTTTGGCATCACTATCGAAAATGCGAGTGTGCGACTTTGGTTTTGCTGCCGTGCGATGGTAGTCTGTACAGACGGGTTTGACTTCGTGAAGGTGAGCTCTCTCTCTTGTCGTTTCAAGGGACCCCTCACCCACCGATTCAGGAGCGCGAAACGTTTACGAGAGTCTGTCTCTTCTTTGCTTTTGCGACTCAGATGAAGATGGGATGGGATCCGACCATCGAACCAATCCTTGGCCCTGGCAAGCGTCGTTATCGGATTACGTGGGTGACGAATGCTATGAGACCATAGAGGAACTTCAAGGCGCCGCTGACGTCCTACTTGGTCGTGGCGTAAGGGTCTTTTTTGTCAAAGATGCCCAGGGAAACTCTGCCGTTCTGAAGGATATCTGGCTTGAGGACGGCCGTATGACCGAATTTCAAATCTATACCGCGATCGTAGAGGACATCGCTCGCAGGTTCCCCGATGGCGGAAAGGAGAAGGCTGACCGGTTCTTGATGCAACCCTCCAAGGACTCGTTCGTCCAAGTCAACGGCGTCGATGATCATACGAGGAATACCATGATGCGAGGGAAGGACTTTGACCTCGAGCAGCACAGAATCAAAGGGCAATAGCACAAGCCAAGAAATAATGACGTTCGTCAAAGCAAATCATTTCCGGTAACGTGCGACGAAAAACCTACACAGCAGCCGATGAAGGGTCTCCCCGTACTTGGCCTCAATGTCGAAGAAGCATCTATCTGCCATAGAAGGTACTATCGCGTCGTATTCAAGCAGCATGCCATTCCTCTCTTCGACGTGGACGACCTCGGGCTTGGTTTCCAGACCTTGGACGATGTCATGGAAGGTCCTCACTGTCGTACTCGTTCTTTGAAACAGCTTATGCCTTGACCAGTGTTGCAGCTCGTACATGGTAGCGGCTGGGTCCATCGGGACATCAGTGTGAAAACATTTACCTTTTGAGAGATCGTGGCCTGCTGAGTGACCTCGAATATGCGAAGCGAATACATGACGATTTTAATCACAGCCCTCGAATAGTAGGCCTTACCTTTTTCAAGTAAGTATGCTCTGATACTGCTCTCTCTTGTAGGGAACACTTCAGTTTATGGCTGCCGAGACCATGGATCGCGAGTACCTTTTCCTTCCGGTTCAGCTAGAGGAACGCAGTACTATGGAGCAATGTACTGCCTTCATTCTTCTCAATCAACGATTGAACAAAACGGCCGCAGAGTCTACGCCAAATGTAGGGACCTTTCACCACAACTATCTACACGACATAGAATCTATGTGGTGGTGTGGCGTGTGGCTGCTTTTCTTCAATTGCCCAAAAGGATACGACGAAGCACAGAACGATGTCGAAAAGCGACAAGCAGCGACCGTACGTGTTTTCCCAGAATTTCTGGCCGCAGCACGACGACTTTTCTGGCTTACACACTTAGAGAAGCTTGGCGAAGCCTTGGCATGGGTTCGGGAAGATGAAGATTTCGTTCCACCTGTGACGTAGATGGTGTGGATCACCACGAAAATTGTGCAATCGTACACGACATACGAGGCCCTTCTAGCCAGCGTCGCAGGGAGTAACGCGACCTGGAACCTCGACCCTGATGCCAGTCAAGTGCACTCCGACGTGCAAGACACGTTTGTGCTTGCGAAAAAATACCTTTGGGGGAAGAGGATCCAGTGCGCAAAAACATCGAATCGTCCGAGCGAATCGAGGGGTACGAATTTGTTGTTAGCTGGACTTCGGACAATGCGTGACGTGCGTCTCCAACCCCAGAGTGGAACTTTGATAGTGGTTGTTACGATATTGTGAAATACATGCAATCCTATGTTCCCTCGGCACAAAGCTCACTAGTCCATTACTCTGTTCCTATTCATGAGCGCCAGCTCGTCATGGCCTTGACCAGAACAAAGGTCGTTATGAGATGTGCAAGCTTGCGCTGCTGGCAGTGCGCACGGTCGCGCAGAGCGATGCTGGCCAGTTTGGGAATAGATAAGATAAGATTTATCACGATCTCAGTTTGTGAATTGTCTTACCACATTCGGAGGAGATGAGTGGCAGAATGACGTAGAATACTGCCAAAAGTGGGGTCATTTTCTGGAAATTTGTCCAGGTCACTCGTAATAAAAGACGGTCTCGCGAGTGTCTCAATCTACAGGCACATCGACACATTCCGTAATGAAAGCAGCTCAGCGATCACTGTGCGACTTCGACCTCAACCCCGATGAACCTGGCCGTGCGGACGCTTCGGGATTGAATTCTAGACTTTGCCTCTTGCGTTCACCATGGTTGCTCCTCCCGATGGTGCTGTTCGCAACAGCAAGCTGGTACTGCTGCTTGATTCGGGAGAGCTCACATGCGCCCTCAAGGGCAGCCTTGTGTCCACAGACATCTCCTCTGGTTCCGCAGGCGAACGCGGGTGTTTGGAGCGATGTGAGCAAAGCGTTCGAGACAGACACTTTCATAGACAGGGCAGCGGACCTTTTGGGTGGTGCCGTCCGTGTTCCGTAAGCTTTCGCTCTCGCTGTCATCCTTACTTACTCATGCATTGCACATTAGAACGGAGGTGTACGATGAGATGGGTTCGATATCTGAAGACGCTCGCTGGGAGGTCTTTGCCTCTTTACATGAGTATCTAGTACAGGCCTTTCCACAGATGTCAGTATTTTGGACAAAATATGTCGCCAAATGCGGAGTTTACATCTTTCGTTTATTGTCAGTCACACTACTCTGCAACTCACAAAGGTGAACACACATGGGCTTGTGTACACGTGGAAAGGCTCCGATGAGGTCCTCAAGCCCTTATTTCTGACTGCGCATCAGGGTACTGCCTATCTAAACATCTGGAACAGCATGTAGCCGCTCACTTACAATTGTGCAGATGTGGTCCCTGTCAATCCGGACACGTACGATCAATGGGTGTATCCACCCTTTTCGGGCCATTACGATGGTACGAGCGTGCCTTTGCTTGACCTATGATTCTCACATCACCCTCGCTACGCTTAGGAACATATGTCTGGGGACGCGGCAGCGAGGACGATAAAAGCGGCCTGGTCAGCCTGATGTGTGTATGGGGGTCTTCCATTTTTCACAACCGCTATCCTAAAAATCGACAGGACGGCAGTTGAGGTGCTGCTTGAGCACGGCTTCCAGCCGAAACGTAGCGTGATTTTAGCCTTCGGTTTCGACGAGGAGACAAGCGGAATGCAGGTGCGCACTAAGGTCTGTAGGAGGGCATGTAAATCTGAATGCACACAGGGTGCACTTGCGATCTCGGAGTTTCTTCTGTCAAAGTACGGCGAGAATGCGTTCGCAATGTTAGTTGACGAGGGCGGTGGGTGTATGGTCACTTCGCGAACGATAGGGCGTCTTATAATAGCCGAGTAGACCAGATTGAGAAGCAATATGGTGCCCTCTTCGCGCTCCCTGCGATCGCAGAGAAGGGTTATATGGATATTCGCATCGATGTCGCGGCGCCTGGTGGCCACTCGAGTGTGCCGCCCGCGCATACGGTGAGCATGCCTATCCCCTACCGCACTATCGTGAAGCCAACATGAATACAGGCAATCGGCATGCTCGCAGAAATACTTGTTCAATACGAGATGCATCCATTCGAAGTGAAGCTCAAGCGTGACTCGCCGATGTATCACCACGCGCAGTGCCTCGCGACATATGCACCGGAACTTCCAGGATTGCTACGCGATGCGGTGCTGGAGTCAGCCAGCTCCGATAAGGCTCTCCGGCGGGCACAGGATCTACTCTTCGAGGACGGTGTGTTCAAGGCATTGGTCGGCACGACACAAGCTGTGGATATAATCGGAGGCGGTGTTAAGTCAAACGCGCTGCCCGAGAACGCGATGGCATTGATAAACCACCGCATTGCAACTGAAAGGTGCGTCCGTCTCCGATCTAGTTGTGCATTTGTTACAACTTGAAATACAGTTCCGCCGCTTCCGTCAGGGAACATGCCACCTGCATAGTGAAGCCCGTTGCGGAAAAGTTGAAACTCTCGCTCACGGCCTTCGGAGTGAGCCTTACGGGAGCGCAGGATTCCCCCGCACATGGCGTTGTCACGCTCAGTGACGCGTGGGATCCAGCGCTTGAGCCTGCGCCGATCACCCCCACTGGTCCAGACGCTGCTCCATTTCAGCTTCTTGCTGGTACCATCAAGACCGCGCACCAGTCTCGCCGCTCGAATACTCAGCTTGCTTCCAGCAAGGACTCGGAGATACACGTGATTCCAAGCTTGGGGTCGGGGAATACAGGTGGGTGATTTACCCATCGCGAGGATCGTCGTCCTGGATTCACGATCCGAAAGACACGCATTACTACTGGAAGTTGACGCCACACATCTTCCGCTACTCTCACTATTACTCTGGTGCGGGGCCCCGTGCGAGCGGTATGCATACGGTGAACGAAGGTGAGCAATGGTACGTCTGATATGTCGCTGATTTTGTTTGAAATTTCCTGGTGTAGCTTGCCTGGCAGAGGGTCTCGTCGAGATGATCACATTTTTAACCGCACTAATCTTAAACGCCGATGAGGCCTCGTTATAGCATCATAATCGATTACCCTCTGTGGTGTTCAGCCATGCCCTACCATTTTATTACCGCAAGAGGGTGCCATACAGAGGCACGCAGACCCGCCATCGGTTGTGCGGATCTGCATTGCGCGTCCATCTTGACCCCACTGTTCTACTGTGGGGAAGAGATACGGACGCATCGCGTTCACTGCTCTTTACTCCAGATGCTCGAGCTGACCCGGGATAACTCACACATCATCCGAGAGCATCGTCAAACTTAGGTCACTACGAACGACACGTCCGTACTGCCGTGATTATATCTCATACTGTATGCGTATGCTGAGACCACAGGAGGGCGTACAAGTCTCAGCCCAGAGATCATGTGATCGCTTCAGTGTCATCGTCGTATACGATAGTCGCAGGCCCGCTACAATAGATGAATCAGTCAAGGTATCCGACTCCAAGAAACGGTGATCTCACCGTTTCTCCTCACCCTGAGATACGGCCAACGGTGTAGGATCAGTAGAACTTCCACAGGAATCATAGTACATCCACTTACGTTCTCCATCCACCTGATCTGTGCCTTCAACTCGGTCAGACCACACAGGAGGACGATCTTGAATACTAGTTCATAGTACAGGCCGCCGGGGCCGTTCCGTGTCTCCTTCAGCACATGTGACGTGTCCGCGTGTACGGTGCACAATGTAGAGAACATCTCTGCGAGCGTTCCTGTTAACAGTGTACATAGAAGCGATTAAATTATGGGCGACTTGCTCGCATCGACGTCCATCCAGTGCGGCTCTTTCAGATTGCCTCGGTAGCAAATAACTGTATCATTGATTTCGTTGAGATTCGCTGCCTGGTTCGTGTGTATGCAGTATGTGCCGGCACGCTCTTCGTCCTCGCTGGTACGTGTGCCCTGCGATACATACTGTGAGTGAAAAATTGCTCTGTTTATTATAAGATGCAGCTCGCCTTCGCAAGGAGTATATCAAAGGAACCTGGGAGTAGTTGCCTGCCCGACAGGTCTCTGAAAGCGAGCATGCTGCGCTGTATGTGCTCGGTATTGAACGGGTTGTAATAGACCAGCTTCGAAGTGCCGTACGTCAGACGCGCGATGCGGTACGAAACCCACTGTGCGAGGAAGTACGACACCGCACCCTCCGCGACCGCTTTGCTTCTGTGAAGAGTGATATCATCTGAGTTTACATCTGATACATATTTTTGTGCATAAGATGGAGCGTTAACGCACGTATGCCGGTCCGGTCGTGCGATGCTGACCCCCATCTGGCTTAGGGAGGCTTGTAGGTTTGAGAAGAGCCATGGGCTAGCGGCAAAACCACCGACGAGGAGAGCCATCTGTACTCGGCCCAGTTGTATGCGTATTCTCCTGCGGTAGAGACCGAAGTGCTTACAGTAGGACGACTCGTAATCGGCGCTGCCTGTTGCTGCTCTCGGACTGCATCCACGATAGCGTCAATCGCGGGCTGAAACAAGGATGCGACGTCTTTCCTGTGAGACATGTTAAGTTCTGAAGTGGAATAGGATGAATCAAAATCACCCTGCGAGAGTCACCTGGCCCCTTCGGATGCCCACCGCAGGGTCATGACAGGACATAGACCCGAACTTGATGTACGACATGTCTTTGTCGTCTTTGAAAATTTGCTTCGTTGACGTCTGAAAGTATTCGAGCATAGCTTTGATGTCTTGTTCATTGCAGTACCTTGAGCCTTTCAATTTTTCTTTCGCAGACTCCATAAGCAGTGAGTGGCAAGAAACATTCACAAACTGATACCTTTCAATAGGATGCTAGCGCGAACGTCAACTGTCGTTGCACCTTGCATGATGCCTGCGCATAACATAATGAATAGACATGAGACATGTCAAGCTAACACAAGCACTTACAGTCCGGCACCACAATCTCTTCGACAACCATAGGCGACACCGACGCGAACCTGTATGTACTGAGGTCAATCGTGCCACCTCCTGCATCCACAATTATCACGCTCTGACCATCCTGATGAAACGGATAAGCAGTTACCTAAGTGCAGTTAGCAGAATTACACTCACCTTCACAGACTCCGTAGCCCGTCCGCTTTGTACGCAAAAATGCAGACTCGCTTCGCCCTCGGAGACAAAGTGTACGCGAGCACATCCAGCCTCTTCGTCGGGGACAAGGCCGCCTTGAACCGCAGCTTTCCTCATCTGAGCTTGCTGATTGCCTCCCCAGCCATTTGGGTGGCCCAGGATGAACTCGATGTCCTTCTCGACTGACAGCCAGAGGCCACTGCCAGCAGCATGGGTCTCAATGATGTACTTCCGAGCACATGCATACATATATGCCATAAAGTCAGCAAAGACGTCAACGACAGTCTTCCGAAGTGGTAGGGGAGGCACTCTCGATTTTATGGCATCTTCAGACGCTAGTGTACGAGGACGAAGATGGAGCTTGAACCTATTGTGGTAGGTCATGCGTATTAGTATCTATCTGTACCAATATCTTGATGCAGATTTGCATACCATTCCACGAAGTGTAGATTTTGGTCTTCGGCGTCGAGGGCGAGACCAGGTAGAGCAGCCTCCGCGCCAACTGCTCTTACGGAACCATCAGGGTTGTAATACATAATTGAGGGAATCTTTGAGTTTCCCGCAGCGTTCTCTTGACCAGGGAACCTGTACAGAATATTAACACCGCATCGTGAATGCGCCGGGGTACAACTACACACCGAGTAACTCCTTGAATTTGCGGAGTCTGCCCAGGTTCCAGTAGAGCATATGCGACGCCGCTGTACGTCGTTCCGACATCAAAAGCTATCACAAGCTTCCGCGTACTGCCCTTGTAAGGCTGAAGGAATGGCATATCGAGGGAGCAGAGCTGAGAATTGGATCAATAAGGTAAGTTCAGTTTGCCGCGACCATTTAAATGGTCGAATACTTTCTTACTGTCGTGCGCGAACGCAGAAGGCTTACATGTGGCATGTATACGGAACATCTGGAGAAAGTACACCCGATGTGCTGATATGGAGCTCTTGGCTGTGTATCTGCGTAGGCGAAACAGGCATTAGTGACAAAGTTTGGATGTATAAGATTCACCACGATCCGCGAAATGAATCATCATCTCCGCCTCCGAGTATCACGGCAACCATCCTCGTGTATAAGTGCATCAATCCTCGTGTATCCATGCATTCATCCTCATGTGCTAATACATCGAACCTTGCGTACGAGGGCTACGCAGCCTCCCGAACCTAATCCGGCTCTTCACAATATCTACCGCGCTTCGATGCAGTATTCTGAACCTCTATAGGCCCCACAGCCCAAATGATCAGCTTATCATTGCTAAATAAATGCCTTCACATGGTTCGAGGGCGGCAAAGTAGTCAAAGAAGGTCAAATAGCTTTCATGTACGTGAATAGCAACAAGAAGCAAGCTCTTGGAACATGAGGCTGCAGGAATGTGGCCCTAGCGACGGCACGGGCGCGCAACCTAGTGCGTGAAAACTGAACAGCTCTAAGCGAATAAAGTGAGTGTTCATTCCGCCGACCAGTATAAGATGGAAAGAAATGGCAAGAACATGACTACGTCTGACTTACCATCTCCTTATCCTCCATTCCTCTGCCGCGGCTGAGTCCTCCGTCTAGTGGCTCCCTCAGAGCAGACATCACCCAATGCCTCCTTTTAGCGGCAGCACGGTCGATTCCTCGAGGTCTCATCCTAGACGCTCTGCGAACTCGAACCACCAGTATAATCATCGCCAGGAGGAGACACGCTCTGTGATCAGAAGACCGAATCGCCAGCCCACACAGCAGCAAGATGAGTTCGAAGCGCTGCGCTCCGAGCTAGCCCATGAGAAGGCGGAACACGCACGTACTCTCGCGCAGCTCAGCGCGAGGACCGCTGAGCTGCGCGCCGTAGTGATGTTCCGAGCCAAAATCGACTCTCACTCTGATACAGACGTCTTGCAGCTCGTCAAAGAGTTCAATGCTGCTGTGTTCCAAACGTCAGCACAGATGGCGAACGAAATGGCGGGTGGGCTGGGTATGGGGGCGTCGGCTGAGCTGAAGGAAGGGGTGAAGGAGGACATGGCGCACCGCGTCGGTGAAGCTACGGTGCAGCTATTGCTGCAAAAGAGACACGACGAAGATCCTACCTGCATTCAGATCGCCTTTCAAGCGTGTCTCATGAGGCACCTGAGCGAGATCATCGAGGCGTGGACTCTTCACCGTAAATGCAACGTGGACGACGGGCCCTTTGGTAGAGTGTATCATGAGATGTATACCCATGGTAAGTTAGCACGTATGTATCTGCCGGACTACCATACGGATTTGCTCACATCTGTTAAACAGAGGATCAAGCGGTGTCGGGACGCTGGCGCGCGCTAACTCGCTCATACCTCCGAGCTGTGTCTGACCACAACGGCATCGTCAAGGGCCAAACACGCCAGCTCGTTGTCCAGCTAGTTTACATTGCGCTTCTGGCAGGCGTAAAGGGTCCAAGCAAACAGCTCTTCGAGATGATCTCGAGCAGGTTCGGCAGCACGATCCGTTCGTTGATGAACCAGGCGCTTGATATCCGCAAGGTGATCGGCGAGGACATAATCTCGGGCGATTTCAAGTTGCTCCTTCCGTCCGACGTCCCATTTGATGAGTCGATGGAGGATGCTTATCCGACAGACGCGATGAGCAATGCGGAGATCCGGCAGGATGCAGTGGTCGTCCGTACCGCAGAGGTGGGGCTCATGCGCGTAGTGAAATCGGACTCAGAGGACTTGAACACAACACTCCTCCTGAAACCAAAGGTCATCCTCGAGCTCTCATTGAATGAGCTGAATGGGAACCGGTCGGAGCTTTGGGGTGCTGCAGAAGAACCGACAGAGTCGAATGGGCCGTAGGTCATCATAATCTGCTGTGACATGGGATCGTGGCGCACCATTATGTTCGGTGTTGTTTGTAGTACAATGCAGACTTTGCGCTTAATCTAAGTGCTCAAATTCTTCCTACTGCATTGTGCGATAGTATACTCCAGCATATTGGCCGCCGCCCATCAGAGTCAGTATCACGTAAGACATGTTTTCTTTTGGCTAGACACGGTGCTCTTGATTGGAGTGGTGATAAATACTACCAAGTAAACATGGTGCGACTCAGTATGGATCATGCGAACGTATGAATAGAGGTAATGTGACCACATCATCTAATTTGACCTAGCTACGGATGGCACCAAAGTATGGTCAAATTACTAAACCACAACAGTCGCAGGCGGCGGCGACAAGTAATTAGGTTATATATATGCATTGCGTCAGGGAAGGCTAGACGTACATGACTCGCAACTGGCAAAGGGAACATCAAATGACCGCTTCGGTGTCATCGTCGTACACAATGGTCGCGGGGCCACTACAATTAAACGCCAGTCAGCCGAAATACTCAAGTTCGCAAGGTCATGATCGTCTTACCGTCTCTCTTCGCCCTGAGGAATTCGACAATCGTCTCATTAGTGGGCTGTCACAGGATTACGACGGAGCTGCGCACATTCTCCATCCAGCTGATCTGTGCCCTCAGCTCTGTCAGACCGCAAAGCAGAATCACGTTGAAATCCTGGCTATAGTACGGGCCGTTTGGTCCAATTTGCTTCTTTTTAAGCACGTGCGATGTGTCCGCATGCACGGTACACAGCGTCGAATACATATCTGTGAGGTACGTCCTTAGCAGTGTGGTGAGGAATATATTGAAGCGAAGCACGACTTGCCCGGCTCAACATCTGTCCAGCACGGCTCCTTCGACTTGCCCCGGTAACAAGTAATATCCGCAGCAATAGCGTCGAGCAGGTTCGCCTCAGGTGCTTCTCTGCGGTACGCACGGGTCACCTGCTCGTCTTCTCGAGTGCGCGTACCCTAGCAAGCATCATGATGAGCAAATACACAGCAATCTTCCGCAAGTCCCATGTCACCTTCGCGAGAAGTACGGAAAAGTGCCCTGGAATGAGTTGCTTTCCTGATGGTCGTTGAGAAATGGTAGAACTGCGCTGTGCATGGTCAGGTGCCGAGGGAATGTACTGAATGCTGCACTTGACACCATATGTCACACGCGCGACACGGACAGACACCCAGTTGTCGAGATAGAATGACACAGCACCCTCCGCGACCGCCTTGCTACTGCAAAGTGTGATCACATGTCAGTCGGCTAGGCGCTATGTTACTTTGCAAACAAGGAATAAACGCACGTGTGTCGATCCGGGCGCGAAATATTGAGGCCTATGCCGCGCGCCGCGCTTTGTAGCCGTGAGAAGAGCCACGGACTGGCAGCAAAGCCACCGACAAGGAACACCATCTGCGCTCGATTGATTGCATGCGTATGCTCGCTACCTGGGAGGCACGTACTTTGGGACGACTTGTATCAGGTGCTGCCTGTTGCTGCTCCCGAACGGCATTCATAATGGCATCTATCGCAGGTTGGAAGAAGGATGCGACGTCGTTCCTGAGGGAGATCATAAGTCATGCAGCAAAATAACATGGATTATAATCACCCTTCGACGGCCAATTGGCCCCTTCGTATGCCTACTGCACGGTCGTTGCAGGACATAGACCCGAACCGGATATATGACGTCTCTGTGTCATCTTTGAATATTGGTTTCGTTGATGTCTGAAAGTACTCGAGCATAGTTTTGATGTCTTCCTCATTGCCATATGCAGAGCTTTTGAGTTTCTCTAGCGTGGACACGTAAGAAACGTGAGAGCAGAAGAAATGGGAATTGAAACCTTGTAGAAACGCATGAGCGCGGACATTGACTGTTGTCGAGCCCTGTATGATGCCTTCCAGCAGAGTGACGTATAAACACGTGGGCGCTAAACGACCAAGCACACTCACAATCCGGTGCGACGATTTCCTCGGCAGCCATGGGCGACACAGACGCAAACCTGTAGGTACTTAAATCAACGGTTCCACCGCCTGCATCTAGAATGATAACACTGTGCCCATTCTGGAAAACAGTGTGAAGATCGGGCAGCAGATCGGTCAGTGATGACATTCACCTTCACAGATTCGGTGACCAGTCCACTTTGCAGGCAGAAATGCAGGCCCGCTTCACCCTCCGTCACAAAGTGCAGGTGATCGTATCCAGCCACGTTGTCCGAGATCAGACCGCCTTGTACTGCTGCTTGCCGCATTTTCGCCTGCTGGTTTCCGCCCCAGCCATTCGGATGACCGAGCACGAACTCAATGTTCTTCTCAACTGTGCTCCAGAGGTATTCGCCATTTGCATGCGTCTCGATTATGTACTTTCGCGTGCATGTGAACAGGTATCGCAAGAAGTCAGCAAAGACGTCTGTGACCGTCTTCCCGAGTGGGAGGGGAGGAACCTTGGATTGAATGGCATCCTCTGATGCTAATGTACGAGGACGGAGGTGGAGTTTGAACCTATTTAACCGGGTCTATATACAGTCAATGTAGGAGAGCAGAGTTGGATTAACACACCACTCTACAAAGTGCAAACCTTCGTCTTCAGCGTCGAGCGCAATACTAGGTAGAGCGGCCTCTGCGCCAATCGCTTTCACGGAACCATCAGGGTTGTAGTATAGAATTGAGGGGACTTTCGAGTCTCCTGCAGCGTTCTCCTGACTGGGGAATCTGTCGCAACGATCAACGCGACGTCGTGATTGTGCCGGCACCCAACTACACACCTAGTGACACCTTGGATTCGTGGTACTTCTCCAGGGTCTAGGAGGGCATATGCGACGCCACTGTATGTTGTTCCGACATCGAAGGCTATCACAAGCTTCCGCGTAGGACCCTTGTATGGCCGGGTGGGTGGCATGTCTAAAGAGAACGTGAAAGTGTAGCAATCTTATTATATAACTATTTGAACGTTAGAAGTTTGATTGAGTTTAATGAAACAGACCTATGTGTCACGAGACACATGGAAGGGGTCTCTCCAACCCAGGGTCTGGGGCTTTTTCCGCGGGAAACTGGACGCTTTTGATGCTGTCCGGTATCCCCGTGTATTCGTCTGGTAGAGCTGCGTTTGTGAAGCGGAGCCACGAGTTGTAAATATGACGCGGAAGTCAGGGAGGCATACCGCATGATAGATCTTCTCAAGTGGACCTTCACTGGGATGAATCAACACGTCTATTCCAATTGTCCTCACGTATCACTGCGGTAAACTGATGAAGCTGTTTGTTCACACTCATGTGTGTGGAAGTATAATGGCCCCACCGCAGTCTAGCGCCTTACAAGCCAGAGTCTGAGTGCCGTCGATCCCAGTCCATCTCTGTAGCATGCCCGAGTCTCTGACTCCACTCCCCACCCACTACTCACCGCCAGGAAACGCTTCTAAGCTCTTGGCGGCGATGCCATTCAGTTGTTCCCTCAGCGGTCTTCGGCGAATTCTGAGTAGCTTCTCCTTGCCCAACCTCTTCCAGAATGGTACAGTAACACCATTAGATCCTGAGCAGACACGTCTCATTCAAACATAACCAGGCCAGTGGCGAGAGGCGCGGGATTATATCAAGACTTTGGAAACGAGAGTGAAGGAGGAGGCTGAAGCGCGAAGCCGATCTGAGAAGGACCGGGAAGAGGCCCACAAGAAGAACGAGAGTTTGGGAAAACAATTGGAGCATACGCGGCGTGAGACGGAGGAGGCACAACGTGGGGCGCAGGAAGCACAGCGTAAGATGGAGGAGGCACAGCGCAAGGCGAAGGATGTGCAACGCGGGGCGGCGGACGTACGGCGTGGGACGGATGAGGCACAGCGTAAAGCTGAGGACGCACAGCACGGGGAGGACGCACAGCACGGGGCGGATGATGCACGGGCGCAGGTCGCAAGACAAGAAGAGAGCTTGCACCGCCTTGAAGAGACGCTGGCGCAGGTCCAGACGGACCTACAGACCACCAAGCAGCATCTGGACGACCGGGAGCGGCAATACACTGCACTCGAAGCCGCGTACCGCAAAACCACCCATCTGCTCGAGATGCGAACTGCAGAGCTCCAAGGCGCACAACGGTATCTCACCAAGACGGATGGGCTGTCCGACACGGAGGTCCTACGCGACGTCGAGCGCATAAACGCGACTATACTGCACGACGCCACGTCCATCGCAGACTCGGTGTCATTCGAGCGGTCGGCAGATCGAGCGCTTCCAGCAGATCCCACGGCCCTCACGCAGCTGCTCGGCGTACGGATGGTTGAGCTCTTGCAGAAGGTCTCCCATCATGGCGATCCGTTCTGCGTCCAGCTCGCACTGCAGGCATGTATGGCGGCGTTCGCGAAAGACGTCTTGCCGATGTGGACGACGCAATCGGAGAACGACGCCTTTCTCGACACAGTATATGCTGGCATTTGGGAGCACGGTCAGTCCCCCTCTACGTCGCTGCATATTGGCACTCACCTCAGCTGCATATGAAGAGACTCAAGCGATAGCCGGCCGGTGGCGCGCTCTCGCACGCTCGTACCTGCATGGACAGCTTCGAGAACGAGGTGCTATCGCGGAGCTGCATCACTGGCTTGCCGCGCTTGTCGTGCAAATACTCCGCCTGGCCGGGGCCGCTGGCACAGAACAGGAGGTTTCCCATGTTGTCTCCGTGCGACATACAGAGCGACTGCGCTCGTTCATCGACATATGCATCGATGTCAACAAATCAATCGGGGAGGGTGTTCTATCCGCCGACTTCAAGGTACTGTCAGTCGACTGCGGCTCCGGGTTCAACGAGGACATCATGAAGGACGATTATGGAAGTGCAGTAAGCATGGGCACGGGAGAGGAGGTTCTTTGCATGGTCGCGGTGGGTATACAGCGGCTAGATAAGCAAGATGATGGGCAGCGGAGGGCCATAACGTTATTGAAGCCTGGAGTAGCGCTTGATAGCATAACGAGCGAGCTCACATGGGAGGAGGATTCATCCGAGAGGAAAGTGGAAGGTCGATCACCATCTTAGGCCTAGATCCGGCGCTTATGCATGTTGTCTCTGACACGGACATCGGGTTTGCAGCGAGCACCATTTGAACATATCAGGGTCGCGGTAAATGTGTCAATACGTGCATTATATCTGTCGTCCTCATGCTCCTTGTCTAATTCTAAATTTAGCTGTAAGCAACAATAAGAGATTAAATTGGACGAGCCTGAGGATAGACAGCGTATCGAGGCGATGAGAGGTGCTGCAGATGTTCTGTCTTTGACTCCGCTCCGCGATGGCTACACTCATAGGTACATGTATATCCAGAGCCTGCGTTGGAAGTTGACAGAAGTGTATTACGTTCTGCTCACAAGAGACTTAGTACTCCTAAGTACTGGTTGGTGACAGTAGATCGGCCGTATCGACTTCGTCTTATAACTGGACGCTGAAATGATCTTGGTCACGTTTGTCTTTCTGATAAGTTAATTTATGATTATATATCCTCCAACGAAGGAGATAACACAAAGATTCGCAAGCAGCGTACCGTGCAATCTCTCCGTCCGTGTCCAACTATTACAAGACACGTGTCTCCAAATTATATCGTTGTTCTAGCCCGTGTCCATCTATGAAATGTTGGTATAACTGCATAGAAATAGCGTCAACAACAGGAGCCGTAGATATTTCAAGCGAAATGAGGTGCTGTGCGAGTTTCAGAACACCAAAGAGTTGAAGTCTGTAGGCGCTGATGTATGATCGGGCGCTCGGGATCTTCCATCTCCTCACCTCCGCTTCTATGTCGCGTCCATTCGCCCCTTGAAGAGCGCAAACGCACATAGCCCTGTCTCACAGCCACGGATACGGGTAGTACATTCTTTTTGCCCACCGCGATCTACTTTCTGTGTCTGCAGTCCGCCGAGACAGACGAGGTAGCGTTGCGTGATTTGGTGATAACACCATGCCCTTGTTGCTTGCTAGCGAAAAATATCCTATATTACAGATGAACGAACTGGGACATTACTACTGAAGGTCTGCGTGATCAATAACTATGTTCTGCCTGATTTATCCTCACATTCCAGACCACATGCCAGTCGCACGGCTACGATCTGATTGCACTTGGTTCCACAGTTCATGGTTCTACAGCAGGTTGCACACCAATGTGATGCACATGCTTGATAATAAGATATATATGCAACTGCATACTGACAACCAATCAGCAGTGGCCCTGGCATACTTCATCTCCTCCAAGTACCCCCGCTTCACTTCATACAGGCCTCAAATTATAGGCACGGAAGCGACAATCACAGTACCGTAATCCAAGCAGATGTTCCACACTCTTTCCAACTGATCTGTTCGTGAGTATGCTGTTTATGAACACGATGCCCTGCCTTATCCACTCCCCAACAACAAAAGGCGCCATCCGTGCTTTTCGGCGACGGTGCTCCCGTTAATTCGAAAGTCCGTCGGCCAGTAGATGATCAGGTAAGGGAGAAGCGCCGCAATAATGTACACCAGCTGATAACAAACAGCAGAACAATCAAGATGGCGAGAACGGCGACGATGCGAATCTCTCTCGGGCGTCTTGCGATCGTTCAAGGCTGCGACCCCGAATCTGACGCATGCCATTGCGCCGGGATCAGGCCGTATAATGGAGGAAACAAAGCAAATACACTTCTCGGCCACAAACGTAACCTCGTCTCACCGATGTGTACGGGTATATGTTGAGTGAGCAAAGTGACAGAAGTAGTCGCAGCGTGAGCCTCGATCTTCCTCGTTGTACACAACAGAATGAGGTGTTATATGGTAGTCAGAGTTGACTGACGAGAGGGGGAGCGGAGGTGAGAATATTACTGAGGCTGCATATAGGACGATGCCCGCAGTGAAGAAGAGTGAGGATGCGGCGAATTTGGGTAGCATTGATGATCAGTCGTCGAGCAATGACGACAGCAACCATTCAGGTAAGACCGTCAGACGTGATAATAATAATTATACTTTCCATGGACTCACCCCCGAACCTGTCTGATTGAGGTCATGAGGGAGAGGCTTGTATACTCGCTCAGCTATGCCATAACGGAATGGTTCCTGGCGTGAGCAGCGCCGCAATAGTCCCATTGCGTTCCGATATATCGATAAGCTCGAATACATGACGATAGTGTTCTTCTCATGGGCCAGTATGTTGAAACATGCGGTCCAGAACGAGCTCACAATGTTGGGCACGATAGTAGCCTGGGGGCCGGAAGCCCTCTCATAGTATGAAATTGATTGCTCACAATGTACCTACCGCCGCACGCGATTGTCCCTTGATACAGGCATCGCTGCGCCCTTGGACAAACGCGCTTGCTGACCGAATCTCCGTTGCACCAACACAATACGCCTTACAGAACGCAGGCATGAGATTGACGGATACGCGTGGAACGAAGCTCCGGCACGCACTCAATGTGCGGTATCGCCTTCGTAAGCTATGTGTGGCACCATCATTTGATGAACCACATTCGACTTTGTGGGCCATCTTCGTGCACCACAGTCAATGTGCGGTATCTTCGTGGACCACACTCGGTGTGTACCGTCATCTTCGTGGGCTCTATGAATATCTTGGACTATAACAGGCATGGCGAGCGGTGCACATTGGAGCCAGGAGAATAATCGGAGGTCGAGCTGTCAGGAGCGAGCCCGCGACAGCGGGGAGGCAGGCAAGAGTCGCGACCAGAAGGCGCCGATACTAGCGTTGATTCGGCAAGGGTCACACAGAGAGCACGGCCGACAAGTCAGGGTCCGTAAGCCAGCCTGAAGTTCATCAACCGTGAAGAGTCTGTACGTATGATGGATGACAATCTTACCAGGGACGAGCGGGAAAGAAATGATGCCGCCACCAAGCAGATATACGAAACTGGGGTCGAAAGAAGAAAAACGGCAATGACAATGGTCCGGCCGGAAGCTGGCGCGGCATTACACAAACTGCGAGTTAGTATCTGCAAGAGCCCGTTGGTAAGAAAGCGTCCGTTAGTACTACAATGGCCGTGTCGCGGTCTTGACCTCTGCATCAACGTTGAGGAGCGGCATCTATCATGTTCAATGGTCGGAGATGCGCAGTGAGGACTTGTATTCTGCATGGGTTCTTCTCGAGGCCATGCGCCGCGTATCGCAGCAACTTACCCGAATACCGGTGCCTTGTCCTGCAATAGTGGCCGCCGCGAAGACGCTAACGGCGGTCACCTGCCGGTCGCTTCCTCCGGACGCTGGAAATACCGCTGGATGCACCTCTCGCCCATTCCAGAGTATTGCGCTCCAGGGAGGCTGTTGTCCGACGGGCATGCCTCGTTTTCCCCAGCCTTTGGATCTTGGCCCACATTGCTCCACGCAGGGTCCTCGCATCCAGTTGTCGGGTGCGGCTCAACCATTCTGAGGCCACAAGCTCGCACCTTGAGGGTCAGGGAGTGCTCTCGCCTCGTTGTTCCAGGCTATTCGGACCTGGTCCACATTACCCCACCCAGGGTCCTCGTATGCAATGGCTAGGTATGGCTAAACCGTTCTGAGGCCACAAGCTCGCGCCAGCATCCACCCGGCTGCACATGACACCAGCTGTTCCAGCGTTACCAGAGTGCATAAAAGGCGTCCTCTTTCACCTACCTTGGCGCGACAACGCGTCGTTCTCGTCCATCGCTGCATCTTCAGGTAGGCCCCCCTCGTCATGACAGAAAGTATGCGACTCTCACGCCTGTCTGCTAGTCTCCGACTACTGCTTCACAGGTAATCATGAGCGGACGAGCAGCCGTGGAGTGCCGCATGCTCACCGCGCACATGTTGTACAGGATGTCCTCCACGGCGCCAGGCACGGTCACCACGCCACCGCCGTCTGTGGCGAGCAATTTCACCGCGACGTTCACCATCACGGATGGTGTCACTACCAGACAAGCGACGTACAACGGGAATCTGTCGGCCTCGACGCAGAGGTTCGACTCTGAGCCCAATGGGGCGACTTTGACGTACAGCAAAGTCCCCTCCGGAAATTGCAGCCACGAAGGCACCGTCGGTGCTGGGAACATCAACCTGACCCTCACTGATCCCGATGGTATCAAGTACGTGGTCGCGGGGAAACTCAAGGACGGACCTTCCACCAGTAAGTCCGTCTCCGGCAGCGGGACGTGGTTGCTTTCGCTTTAAGGCGCTGGTGGAGAGAGAGAGAGAGAGAGAGAGAGAGAGCGCGCTGGTGGAGCAGTGATTCAACTCACTCAACAGTCGCTCCGCACGATGTATATTTACGCGGTTCAACCCGCCAATTTGGCAGCATGAATATCTGTGACGAGGCCGTGTCCAGGATGGTCATGTGGCGAGATGACACACTGTGCTAGCGGATCCCAGATCTGCAGGTTGGTAACGACAGGGCACGACCGTATGAATTGCCCGCTCGTCCTTCGCTCCGTTTTCGCGCCGGTCGATCTGAATCGCGAGTGCTGGAGATCACGCAAGGCGGTCCGATCCGTGCACTGGAGGCTGCTGTGCACGAGCGTCTCGCACGCGCTACACAGACACGCGGACGGAATTGTAGCCAGAAGGGAGAGACACCGTCCGAGGATGGACAGTCGCGCTGTCGACGCCATCGTTGCCGATTGCAGCCTTGCGGAGGATCGTGGCGCCCTTGGGTCCGCGCCGCAAACCCAACCCAGCCTACGCCATACACGCAGCCCGAGAGGCACAATCGGCGCCACGGGCCTCATACCCGCGTAGAATAGGGCACCCGCGCCGCTCTGACGCTGGTACGCGCGGGCGACGGCGAACGACATCCCCAGGCCCAGGATATCGCGCGCCGCACACCGGGGCTCACCTGCAGTACCGTTCGCGGTCCGCCATCTGCCCCGAGGGCCCCAGCCGACCAAGATGCACGATGCACGATGCACGATGCGCTGCTCAGTAGTTGCAGAAGGATCCGCTGCCGACGCTCGTGCCGCACTGCATGCGCGGGTACGCGCAGGCGAGTGTGGGGGCGTGGGGGGCGTGGGGGCCGCAGCAGGTGCGCCTCGGGCGGCTTATGGCTGGGCGGGACGCCGATCGCGTACGCGGATTCTGTCGTTCGCGCGGCGGTGTGTGCGGGCGGCCTGCAGCGCCCGGTGCGACGGCATTCCGTAGCGTCTTTGCGAGGAAGCCAAACGAGACACGCTCCATCTGGGCATTTCAGATTCCGTCCACGCGCCTGCCTGCCAGAGGCGTTCACCACTCACTAGTACACCGAGGGACGCGCGCCCACAGTCCACGGCGCGTAGCTCGGTCGTGGGGTGGCTTGAATGGCCATCGGCATTGTTTTCACGGGCCGATGGAAATTGCCTACGCGCGCGCAAGCGGTCAGTGCGCGACTGGTTGAGGTCGAGCGCTGAGCTTCAGGCAGCGGCGGCACGTCCGCGCGTGGCACTGGTCGCGGTGCGTGAATCCGTCGGCTTCGGCGGACGACTGTGGCGTGAGCGACACTGGATACGCGGCGATGGTGGACACCGAAGCCGCACGTGCGAGCAATTCCTCGCCTGCACATAGCGATGTCGTGCTGTGCACCGCGATTGGGGCAGCAAGCAGGTGGCAGGATGCTCTCATGCACATGACGCGTTTGCCACGCAGAAGGGACGACGGGTCTATCTGCCAGCCGGCGGGTTGGTCCTTCCTCATCAGGCTTTGTGCCAGACTGATCTGACGCTGGGACGTCAGACGGCTACCATTGGGCTTGCGCTAATAGTCGTTTTGGTCGCCCGATCACCGGGGGTTAGCGCCGTCAAGATTCAAGATCAGTGAAAAGCAGGCACTAGGCCGCGGAGCTTTTCAGAGATGATCGGGGTATGACAGGGTCGTTGGCAGCCACCGGCGCGGGCGGGCGGGTGCGCAGGGAATAGTGGCATATAGCGAACATGACGGGTGTCTACTCACAGTACTTGTGGCGTGCCAGTGACATGTCTTGCGCGGAGCAAGATCGAGATCGATTCATTGCCGGCGTTGCACGGCTAGGTGACGATCGGGGCCCGGATCACCCGTGCAGCCGAATCGAAGCCTCGGGCGCCAAACGCAAGACATGTTCCTGCCCGCTTGTCGTCGTATGCATCCTGACTATTTGTCCTTTTCCTCTTCCTCGTCTCTGCTCACCAAACTCTCCCCTCGCCGCCAGTTTCCCGGCCGCTCCGTTGAGCCGTAGCACACAAGTGGGCGCTGCCCTCGTATGCGGCTCCCTCGCGTGCGCTGCATACCCGTGGGCGAACCGCACAGCAGGGCCTCGCCTCCTAGGCGGCTCCTCTCGCTCCCCGTCCCACTATGGCTCACGCTGGGGGTTCCCCGTCCACCCCCTCACGCGGGCACACCTTTTCGGCGCTGTTTCCCTCCGCATCGACGAGGCCGGACGTCCATATGTCACAAAGGGGTTTGGGACATGGCCAGCACCCCGTTGCGTGATCGTGCGCCATCCTTCCACCGCTCGTCGCATGTTCGCGGCGCGCTGCCCCGCCCCACGCGCCGAAGATGCCTGCACAGATGCCGTCGCAGATTGGCAGCCGACCGCACATGCATCAGTGCAGATCCACGTCTTCGTCGGAGCAGCGGGCGCCGACCAGGACACTCGCACCTTTTCCGCCTTGTCACCGAGCGCTCTGCAGTTGAGGGCCCGCCGACGCATGCTTGAGGATCACGAGGGCCAGTACCGTAGGTCTGCGGCGAGCCGCCACTGGAGACACCGGCTGCGCGCGGCGGACTCGGCAGGCGGCCCTGTTGCTGAAAATGGGCGCGGTGCTGCGTGGCATCGCGAGCACGCTGGCGGATGCGGAGGACCCGTGCAGGCGGATCGCAGAAGGTCCCGGTCGTCGGCCGCCGCCGCCGCCGCCGCCACTACACCAGAGAGAGGCGCGGGCCCGGGTGCGGTGCTGACGAGGTGCTCGGGATAGACTCGGACTCGGACTGGCCGCGCCGCCGTCCTGGAAGTCAGCGCTCAGCTCCTGAAAGGCGCGGAAACGGGTTCTGGGGAGCCGTGGTCCCGTGCGTGGTATGTACAGGCTGTCGTCTCGCGTGGTCTCTGCCCCGCGTGTCCTGTGTCCTCCATCGCCCCGCCCCGCCCCGTCTGCTATCCGCCGGTGTCTCGCGACTGCTCGTCGGGCGTCCGCATGTGCGTGCCTCGACCCAGTGGGTGCGTCCCGGCTCTCTCTGCGAGGAATCGCGCCGCTGCGTGGCATCCCAGCTCGACTCTTGACTCTTGACTCCTGACTCCTGACGCTTGAGCATCCGCGACGGGCAAGGGAGCCCGGAGAGGCCATGAGCGGCTGCGGACTGACTTTGTCGTGGCTGCCGACAGCTATCCCAGAATGCGAGGCGGGCTTTTTTGGCACAGAGAGACGGCATGTGCAGCGCGCAACCCGCTCTGGCGGTCCTCGCAGCGACGCACACGCGGAGAGCACGCCATCACACCGTGCGCACACCCACAGCCCATGGACTGTGTGGCAACACCACCGGGTTCCATCGCGCCGCGCCTGCGAGCGGATGGGTCGTACTGGAGTCGTGCTTCAGTGCTATTCAGTGCGCCATCCCCGCATGGCTCTGGTGCGTTTCTCGGGTCGGCAGCATTGGCCGTCGTCCCTGCGCAGAGCGTACATCCTCAATACCAGCGAAGGGCAGGCCTATCATCATCATGCGCTTTCCATGGCAGACAGCTGACACGTGTTCTTGGTGGATTTCTGACAGGGATCGAGGCTGAGGATGATAGGATTGTAGCCAGCAAACATATAAGGAACAAAGCGCAGACTCTATACTCTGTTCCTTGCGTGTTCGCTACAAAGCGATTGGTGTACACGCGATCACGTGATCTACTACCGTAAATATCGACTGTACACCACACAGGTGTTGTCGGGCCTGTTCAGGGCAAGTGCGAATACAGAATGCTCTTCTCAAGGCATAAACACAATGTTCACCCGGCTATCAGACTCATATATCAAGGGAGCGGCCCAAAGTATCACACACATGGATACCAAAATAATGCACGATCGCGGCGTGTCCGGGCATAGGACATCTCTGCCTGTTTCGCTGCGATATAAGAAAACGTGTGCGCTGCGCTGAAAGGTAAGTCAATCGCTTCTGCATCGTCGTCGTACACGATGGTAGCGGGCCCGCTGTGGCATCCGTATTCACAATGAGCAAACGTGGAAACACACGCGCAGGATGGGCATCGTACCGCTTTTCCTGGCCCTGTGTGGCAGAAGTCAACGTCAGGCACACTGCTGAGAGCACACTAGCCGCTTACATTCTCTACCCAGCTGATCTGCGCCTTCAGCTCCGTCGGGCCGCACAGCAGAACGACCTTGTATTTCAGCTCATAGTATATGCCTTTCTTCCCCTTTTGCTTTGCCTTCCCGACCCGCGATGTATCTGCGTGCACTGTGCACAAGGTCGAGAACATCTCTGCGGTGCGTGAGCTTCGTCTTCGTAGCAGTTATAGCAGTGCGTGATGCTCACCGGGCTCACTGTCTGTCCATGAGGGTGCCGTGGACTTGCCTCTATAGCATGTAATCTCGACAGAGATGCTGTTCAAAGTCGACGCCTCACGCGCTTCACAGAAATACTTATACGAAAACTCTTCGTTTTCTTGGATACGTTTACCCTGGTAAAGATTGCGATACTCATTCAGCCGAACGGAGGGCGCGCTTGCAACATCCCCACCATACCTTTGGAAGAATCACAGAGAAACGGTGCGGGAGGACTTGCCCCCCTGATGGCCCTGAAAACACACTGTCTCGCCGTTTGACATGCTCTGCGTCGAAGGGAATGTATTCGGTGATGCACTCGACGCCGTACGTGATCCTTGTGACGCGGACAGATACCCACTGCTCGAGGTAGTGCAGGATGGCGCCTTCTGCGACCGCCTTGCTCCTGAACATGCGGGCAGTGCGTTAGTGCGGATGCTGCCGAGCGGGCGAGGCCACTCACGTGTGGCGATCCGGACGCGCGACATTCAAGCTGCTGGCGCACAGCGCGTCCTTCAGCTGCGAGTACAGCCATGGGCTCGCCGCGAATCCGCCAACCAAGAATACTGTCTGAAACAACCACGTTTCGAGGATCGATGGTCCATCATCATCATCGGGATCATTCTAGACGACACATACCGTGAGTGCACCCGCAGCCGTTATGGCTTTGGATTGTTTCTCTACAGCGTCAACGATGGCACAAACTGCAGGCCTGAAGAACGATGCGACATCGCTCCTGATAGAATGTCAGTAAACTGTACGGAGTATATGACGCGTGCAAAAATAAACACCCTGCCAGGATCAGCTGTCCGCGACGGATCCCGACGGCAGGATCGTTGCACCCCATCGATCCAAATTTGATATACGCAGACTCTCCTGCATCTTTGAAGATGGGCTTCGCCGACTTCTCGAAGGCATCCATCATGGTTCTGATGTCTTCGTCGTTTCTGTAGGTGGAGCGCGCTAGTTTCGCTGTCACAGGCTAAACGAGTGCTCCAGCGAATAGATAAGAATGAGCCTTCATACCTTGCAGGAAATTGCGCGCTCTGACGTTCACAGTAGTGGATCCCTGCATGATGCCTGGTCTGTGCTCAACGCAAGCTCAGGAGGATGTGCGGCATCAAGATACATACAGTCAGGGGCAACGACTTCCTCCACGGACATCGGGGAGATGGTGGTGAACGTATACGTGCTCAAGTCAACCGTTCCCCCTCCCGCATCCACGATCATCACTGTCTTCCCGTTCTACAAGGGTACGTTAGATCGTTCGGGGCAGGCCTCACATAGCGAACAGGTATACCTGAACGGTCTCCGTGGCCAGTCCACTGCGGACGCAGAAGTGCAAGCTGGCCTCGCCTTCGCTGACAAAGTGCACGCGCGAGTGCCCTGTCGCAGTATCGGGGACAAGGCCGGCCATGATGGCGGCGCGCCGCATTTTTGCTTGCTGGTTGCCCTCCCAGCCATTCGGATGCGTGAGCACGAACTCGATGCTGTTCTCCACCGACTTCCATAGGCTCTCCCCATTTCCGTGTGACTCGGTGATGTATCTCCGTGCACACGCAAAGAGATATCTAAGGAAGTCGGCGAAGACATCGACGACCGACTTGTTGGGCGGAAGCGGCGGCACTCGGGCCCTAATGGCGTCCTCTGATGCTAGAGCACTGGGACGCAGGTGTAGTTTGAACCTGTGTCAAGACATCGAGTCAGTAATGCTCTTGGCTCAGGCAAGGGAATAAATCATACCACTCGACGAAAAGTAGACCCTCGTCTTCCGCGTCCAAGGCGAGGTGAGGAAGCGCAGCTTCTGCCCCAACAGCTCGGACGGAGCCATCGAGATTATAATACAGAATTGAGGGTATCTTGGAGTCGCCTGCAGCATTTTCCTGGCCAGGGAATCTGGCAGAGGATGTCAGGTAGTCTAAGCATGTACTGTTGACAGCGGGGTCTGCTCCGCACGAACCTAGTAACGCCATGCACTTGCGGTACCTCTCCGGGGTCGAGGAGCGAGTAGGCAATACCACTAAATGTGGTGCCTACGTCGAAGGCGATAATCAATTTGCGGTAGGGACCTTTGTACGGTTGCGCCATGGAGGGGGGGGGAAGCGACAAGGACGATTTGGATATAGAAGTTAGCGTCAAACTCTCAACGGCTCTGCCTTATAGCTGTTTATCAACAGAACGTGCTGTTCATCGTGCCGTACAGGAAGAATGGCTCGTGGATTGCAGAAATGGCAGTACAGTAGACATATCGTGTAAACGCGCGGGTGCTTTCCGGCCAAGAAGTGACGACCAGGCAAGGAGACGATCCTTCTGACACTGAGAGTTTATATGGTCAGCACATTCCTCAAATCATTCATGGCTGCATGAATCGATTGCAACGTGGGTCGATCCCCTCGAGAAGCGGGTGGTTTACTCTCGCATATCGCGACGAAGGAGGCATCACACTGCTGTTCGGTTCAGCACGAGGCCAGTTGAGCAGTTGAGGTAGACCGCATACTCCGATGAACTAGCTTGTAGCAAAATCTGTTCCTCTCCTCCTATTTTCTCGATATTGTGCGCATGGTCTTTCGCTATTCTCGTGGTGTTTATAACTTCTTTATGGCTGCAGCACCTGGCGGCATGACTGGCAACCGCATCGACGGACTTCCGAGCACCGAGGATGTAGTCGCAGATGTACAGCGTGCGCAATCACCAACTATGGCACAGATCACTTCTCTTGAAGGAGAGCTGCGTACAGCCAGGAAAGAACTAGAGGAGTTGCAGGGAAAAGAGGAACGCTCGAGATCAGTCATACAGTGGTTCCAAGCAGAGCTAACGGAGTCGCAGACGTACGCCAAATCCATCGAGGATGAGCTACGGAAGTTCTCTGGCATAAAAGAACAGCTACGAGAGGAAAGACGCCTTACACACAGCCTCGGGCAGCAGCTTGCCACTGCGCAGGCAGCACATTCTAATACAACCGCCCTATTGGACATGCGTAGTTCCGAGCTCAAGGATGCGCAGAGATTCCTCACTAAGACAGACCCCCTCTCCGACGCGGATGTTGTTCGCATGGTCGAGCACCTCAACTCGCAGATATTCCAGGCGGCCGCCCGCATCGCAGACTCCGTGAATTTCCCGCACTCGAATACAGCACGTCATGGGTCCCGCGCAGGACACCTCGTCGGTCCAGTATTGGCCAAGCTCCTCCAGCAGGTGTCCCACGCCGACGACGCATTCTGTATGCAACTTGCGCTGCAAGCAGGTATTATTGCTTGGACAAAATGGTTGCTCGAGACCTGGAACTTCGATCCTCGCGGAGACGAAGGGCTGTTCCATGATATGCACGCTTATATCAAGAATAAAGGTCAGTGTCAAGGCGGCGTCCTGAGTGGCTGTACTTACATGGCTTTTAAAACTGCAGAAAGTCAGACTGTCTCGGGAAGATGGCGAGCGTTAGCACACTCCTACCTCATGGCTCGTCTGTCCGACGCCGCGCAGTCAACTCTTCTGGACCACCTTGTCCTGTGTGTCGCCGATCTCCTCCTCGCGTCTGGAGCGGGCGACTGCTCTGAACAGGCCGTCGCATTCATACGAGATCGCCATGGCGAACCTCTACGATCTATCATCATGGCGACCCTACAGCTCAGGACGGTGATGTGGGAGGACATAGTCTCTAGAGACTTTGAGACAACGGCTGTGAGCGGCGGGGAGAGATTTGACCACGAGTCGATGAAGGACGACTTCAATAGTCAGGCGAGAACACGAGAAGATATAGGTGGAAATGTGTTGTGCACCACCGGGATAGGCCTCGTGAGGTCCGAAAAATGCGAAGGCCCTGAGGGTGCGACCCGGACAGTCAAGGTCCTCTTGAAAGCGGCAGTTGCCCTAGAATCCGTCGTACACGAACTGAGCCTAGCTGCGCACGCGTAGACTTTAGAAGAGGTGAGCTGCAATATCATCACTAGATTTTGATTGAGTCAGGATCGTAGTGATAGTTCGCCATTCAATGCAAAGCTAAAGCAGCGTCCCAGATATACATTCCACGTCTTCCTTTTCTTCGGAGAATTTAGGTACAGAATTTGGAAAAGCATTGTATCAATTTGTATGTGCCTAAACGCAAAATGTCAGTGGTACTTGGTACTCGCGATGTTGACCGAATGAGAATGCTTCGTTATATTGAGCGTCGGTCACTTCCAGATACGAAATTTTGCGGATCAGATACTATCTGGGTGCATATATGCGCCTTCAATGAGAATCTAGGGGAGCACACATGGCAGCGATAGCGTGCTAACGTGCATCAATGTGGCAGGACTGCCTGTGATTGCAATGAAATGAGCATTGTAGGATAGGGATATCGAGACGCATAATGGAGACGCGAGCCATAATGTAGACCGGCCATTGCAGATAGCATGAATACGACGTAAGACCTCCGCGCCTGGCCTCTTTCCAACCACGGCACTGAGGCGCAGCCTAGCCTCATGCAAACTTAACTCAAGGCAACTTGTTGCCAAGGCAAGCATGTCTTGTGCTAATCTGCATGAGAACATTAAATTGGGGGAAATGAACCCGATGAATCCGTTCCGTTCTCACCTTCGCATACATCCCGTCACGACATCCAGCGGCGGCGATGATTGTCGTGACGGCTAACTTTTGTCATGTATGTCTGATAGACTATAACGGTACCACCACAGAGACATAGCAAGCTGTAAAGAGGCACTTCCCACATCTCGGCAGCATCGCGCACAATGCTCGGACACAGGCTGAAGGCCCCGAGAGGTGCGCATGCGTAAATAAGAGCGCGAACCACATACAACAAGATATTGTCATGTAAACAGAGCTCAATATATTGGAACAAGGGTGCGAACGGCGCGAGGCGCGTTTGTCCACGGGCGTAGCGATGCCCTGAGGGACAATCGCGTAGCGTACATACATCGCGCGCGGTCGTTATATACTACGATAGGGGCCTCCGGCCCCCGGTTACTCGCGCATTCGAGCTTTCGAGCTCGTTCCTGACCGCGCGGGTCTGCGCATTTCAACACAATAACCCTGTAGATATAACGCTGTCCGTATAAGATTCACAAGAGAGGGTGAACGATGGACAGAATAGCTCTCGTCAACTTGGAGTTGGTAAAGAGGCTATCTAATCTGATACCGAGATGTGGTGTATTTGGCATTGTTCTCCCCTAGGATGTATTTAGCGCGCCTTTTTATCAAGGTCGACTTTCGCTTACTCCATAGCTGCGTGTATGCAATCCAGACTTCTCTATCAACTACAGATTGTGTACAACGCATACCGGAGTCTGGCCCGTGAGCAATGTCTTTCAAATTTGGACTCTGAGCTTACATTCTCATTAAGTGCGATATCTTTCCCTTTTTTTTCTTTCTACTAAAGCTGAAACACACACGTCACTGTTGTGGACGAGTTGCTTCCTTCACACGGGCACATGTGACTGGATGTAGCTACGCTCAGGCATTCAAATATGAGGTGACATTTGTGCATACATTCATACATGAAAAGCTACAGAAATCGCAATCTGGAACTCAGTCAACGGACTCGGTATCATCGTCGTATACGATTGTCGCCGGGCCGCTGGAAAGGCTCAATCAGTGATCAAAATCAGGCTTTCAATAAACAGACTCGGAGCTCACCGCTTCTCCTCACCCTAGAGAATGCGAGCAATGTGGAATTAGTGGCCGTTTCACGAGATCGCAATGAAGCCACCTACATCCTCCATCCAGCTGATCTGCGCTTTCAGTTCCGTCGTGCCGCACAGCAGGACCACCTTGTAGTCCTGTGTATAGTAGATGCCGTTTTCTCCGTGCTGCATCACCTTTAGGACGCGCGAGGTGTCCGCGTGCACCGTACACAGCGTCGAGTACATTTCTGCAGTGGTCAATGACACCCCCTGGGACCCTTGACGGTGCAGCACAACTTACCTGGCTCGATGTCCGTCCAGCACGGCTCCTTCGATCTGCCACGGTAGCAGGTAATCTCCGCGGTGATCCTGTTGAGCGTCACCGCCTCGCGTGCCTCCTTGTAGTATCCATGCGACACCTCCTCGTCTTCGCGGATGCGGGTGCCCTAGCAACCATGCGGTGAGTAACAAAGTGATGGAGCACCGCGCTCCCGTGCGGCTGGGCCGATAGCGGTCTCACCTTGGCGAGGATGGCGGAGAAGTGGTCAGGGATGACCTGTCTCCCCGACGGCCGTGTGCGGACATTTCCGCGGCGCTGCAGATGGTCGGGCTTCGACTCATTGTAGTGGGTCGTGCATTCGATCCCGTACGTCACGCGCGCGACGCGGGCAGAGACCCAGTGGTCTAGGTAAAATGATACTGCGCCTTCCGCGACTGCCTTGCTCCTGTGGGTCGCAACGACCGGTCAGCTGAGATCATGCGCTGGAGGAAGCTTGGCGTACGTGTGTCGGTCCGGGCGCGAGACGCTGAGACCATAGTCCCACAACGCATTCTGGAGTTGCGAGAAGAGCCACGGACTTGCCGCGAAGCCGCCCACCAAGAAAACGACCTGAGAATGTTTCTTCAATTGGGGTGTCAGTACAGAGCATCGGATGGAACGACTTACTCCGAGAGGGCTTTCAGCCGGAGCGGATTCCTTCTGCTTTTGGACCGCTTCCACAATGGCGTCGATCGCCGGCTGGAAGAATGACCCGACGTCACTCCTGCACGAGACACACGAGACATCAGCTTGGGAAAAGACATGAGATGTATCAAGCTGACCCTGCGAGAACCAGTTGACCTCTCCGTATCCCGACAGCAGGGTCGTTGCAGGACATCGATCCGAATCGAATATACGACGTCTCGCTAGCATCTTTGAAGATAGGTTTCGTTGACTTCTCGAAGCACTCGAGCATCGTCCTGATGTCCTCCTCGTTGCCATATGCGGAGTCCTTAAGTTTTGCTGTCGTTGCCCATGTGAGCAGCATGGACACGAGAAGCGCCTGCGAACAATACCTTCCAGGAATTTGCCCGCGCGTGCATTCACTGTGGTGGAGCCCTGCATTATACCTCACGTGAAGAGCGTGATTAGACGTGATGACGAGTACCAAACGAACAACCACACTTACAATCAGGCGCCACGATCTCTTCGACGGCCATAGGCAGCACCGACGCGAACTTGTATGTACTCAGATCAACAGTCCCACCACCGGCATCGAGGATGACGACACTATGCCCGTTCTGAAGATCGGCATCAGGACAGGATGCAAATTCGACCGTGAGACACAAGTCCCTCACCTTGACCGACTCTGTCGCGAGTCCGCTCTGTACACAGAAGTGAAGGCCCGCCTCGCCTTCAGTGACAAAGTGCACGCGAGCGTATCCCGCCGGTGTGTCCGGGATGAGGCCAGCCTGCACCGCGGCTCGCCGCATCTTGGTCTGCTGATTGCCCTCCCAGCCATTCGGGTGGCTCAGCACGAACTCGATGCTCTTCTCCACAGAGCTCCAAAGGCGATCTCCGTTCGCGTGCGTCTCGATGATGTACCTTCGAGCGCACGAGAACAGGTATGCCATGAAGTCGGCAAAAATGTCGGTCACGCTTTTCCCGAATGGGAGCGGCGGCACCCTGCTGCGAATGGCATCCTCCGATGCCAGTGCACCGGGACGGAGATGCAGTTTGAACCTGGAAAGGTTCATAGTCAGCCTTCGATGTGCAGCTATACAGGAATACCGTCATACCATTCTACAAAATACAGGCCTTCATCTTCAGCGTCTAAGGAAAGGCTCGGAAGAGCAGCCTCGGCGCCGACTGCTCTCACTGACCCATCCGGGTTGTAGTAGAGAATGGATGGGATCTTTGAGTCTCCCGCTGCGTTCTCTTGGCCTGGAAAACTGTCGAAATCGCAAGTCAGCGATACAGTAATTTAAGCTGCAAGTGAACACGGTAGGATGTGCACCGAGTGACTCCTTGAATTTTGGGAACCTCCCCCGGGTCAAGAAGCGCGTACGCAATACCACTGTATGTCGTTCCAACGTCAAAAGCAATCACAAGCTTTCTGGTCGTGCCACCATATGGTTTAGCTGAGGGCATGATGGAGAGAGGAGAGGTGGAGAAGAGCGGCCTGTCCCATCGTCCTGAACTTGGATAATGTACGGAGGCAAAATTCTGAGTGGACGTTGATGGAACTGAGGAAGAATATCCACATGCGGCTAGACCTCATGTGCACGACTCATACCAGCTATGGGCATTTGCCTTCCTGTTCGGGGCGCCCCCCACAGGGCATTTCGTACACGATAGTCAACTCCTCGCTATAATTGCCGAACTTCTGATTGGAAGGTGCGAGGAGCGTACTTGCAATGGAACGGCGTCCGGCTTCATCGCATTTCCTAACGGATCCTAGCGAGAAGCGCGACGGGCTCGTCAGCAAATGGCGCTCTCTAGAGGCTTATGGCGAATGCCCTTGTTCTGCTACCTCGCCAGCGCACCCTGAGACCACCCTTCGCGGCTTGTACGCACCCCGCTCTCCCTGCCTAGAACAATGCCGCTGGCCTTGCTTGACTCCTTCCGTGGGCTTCTCCATTGTCTCCTGCCAGGAACCGTGCGAGGTCATCCGGATGGATCAACCAGATCATACAACGGCGAAACGGCACCGTTGATGCATGGTCTGCAAGACGACCTGCGGAAAGCGAAAGAAGATGGCGATGTCTGGAAGAGGCGTGCAGACGAGGAACGAGAAAGCAAGCGGCAAAGCGAGGCCGCATATTCAGATCTACAGCGGCGGTATAATAGCTTGAAGGAGACAGTGCGCGCCATAGAGACTGAGACAGTGGTCTTGCGCGAGCGCGCGGACACGCTAAAGGTGGTGGAGGAGGAGCTACGGATGACAAAACACCTCCTTCGCAGCCAGGAGCAGCAAAACACCACGCTGCAAGCCATACACGTCAAGACAACCGCCCTCCTCGAGACGCGCAGCGCCGAGCTGCACGACGCGCAACAATACCTGACGAAGGCGGACCAGCTGTCCGACGCCGACATCCTCCGCGTTGTCGAACAATTGAACTCCGAGATCATGCAGGCCGGTGCGCTCATCGCGGACTCTGTCCGCTATGAACACCGGTCTGCAGGATCGGGCGCAGTCGATACCGCCATCCCCACCGAGCTGGTCGGCGCGAAGATGGCCGAGCTGCTGCAGGTAGTGCCCCATAGCGACGACACGTTCTGTGTCCAGCTTGCGCTGCAAGCGGCGTTGGTGACACTTGCGAGATGGATCGTCGCGAAATGGATTTTATGGCCCGACTGCGACGACGGTGACATCAGAGGCATATATGAGGGCATTAGAATGAATCGTAAGAGCCACATACGCCACCACCAGACCCTCTATACTAACCAGTCACATCCGCTGTCCAGAAAGCCAGGCGGTCGCGGGCAGGTGGCGTGCTCTCACGCGCGCGCACGCAAAGACGTTGCGGGACCACGACGCTGGGGCGGAGCTGCACAAGAATCTCACGGTCTATGTCGCCCACATCCTCGCGCTTGCGGGAGCGCAGGGCAGTCCCGAAGATATCTTGGGGCTAGTGCAGGCTAGCCACAGTGACCGGCTGCGCTCATTCGTGAATGCATGCCTTCACATTCACAAGGCCATCGGCGAGGAACTTACCTCCGCAGACTTCGAGACCGTAGCTGGAGCGTGCGGAGCGCGTTTTGAAGCGGGGTCCATGAAGGACGAGTGGGGAGGGTCGACGGACGAGAGTGAGGAAGGGACGGTCCTGTGCACGACTGCGATGGGCTTGCGGCGCGTCGAGAAGCGGGACGGAGGTGAGATAAATAGCATTATGCTGCTGAAGCCTGGTGTCGCCCTCGATAGCGTCGTAAAGGAGATGACGTGCACGGAGAGGGACCTGATGTGACCCAGCCGGATTGATAGGTCGGTCACTGTATTACAATCATCGCGACCACTTCTGATCTCGGACGGGGTTGGCTGCATGTAAACAGGCTCACCGACACTCATGCCGTGGAGGTTCTTGTCTCGTGTCTCGTGTCCCGCATCGTACTATTGAACGAGTATTCTTCTGGTGTCTGCACAGTCTTTGATTGACCGCATAGTATATCTGGTAGTGCTATATGCATGACTGACTCTCGAATGCTAAACGATATTGCGCCAGCCTGAAGTCTACGAGAGGTGTGTGTAGATTGGGTACGATGACTGGACCCTACGTTACTTCGAGAAAAGAAGCAAGTCACGGTAATCCGAATGGGCTATTTGGAAATTCGAACAAGTAGTGTGTTATGTTTGAGATGTTAGCGCATCTAGATGCCGTTCGACAAAAGTCGTGCGACGTGACTGGCGGACGCGCGACATCAATAGCGATCAGCCACTGACGCGTTCAGTCTCCGATCATGCCGACAGTTCCGGCACTGCTCAGTTCAATGACACATTGCGCACAACCGTCACATTATAGTAGCAGCACGCGTTCCGCCACTCTCCTCTTAGGTCTCATGCTTCCTGAACACTCGGACACTCGAAGCTAGTAAGTAGAGTAATGGGAAACATACATATGAGCTGAGGTACTACGCGTGACCCCAACGGTCGGCACGCTTCAAGGAACGACGTACTGACCTGTCGCCGATGTCGACAACTTAGTCTCGTGCGGCAGCATCGTCATCATACACAATACTGGCAGGACCTCTATGTATGTCGCTGTAAGTGGACAGCTGCCCAAGATGTACTGATACTCACCGCACTTCTTTGCCCTGGAAGCATGCTCAGAGTTCAGTTAGTGGCGCGTTATTGACGGGGAGCTTACATTCTCGATCCAACTTATTTGCGCCTTGAGCTCGGTCAGCCCGCACAATAAGATGACCTTGTATTCGGCTCTGAAGAAATGTCCCATCGGACCTTTCTTTTTGTGCTTCTGCGCGCGAGAAGTGTCTGCGTAGACCGTGCATAACTTCGAAAACATCTCTGTGCCATGGTGTCAGCTGTGTCTCTCGGATCAATATGCTTTTTGCTCTCACCCGGTTCAACATCGGTCCAGGCAGGGTCTCCGGCCTTGCCTCTGTAGCATGTGATGTCGCTTGTGACATACTTGAGGTCTGCCTTTTTGTTTGATTCCTTGATCATCTCTCGCTGAATCTCATGGTTCTCCGTGACTTGGCTGCCCTACTATGTGCAAGCGATCAGATATAGCACACAGCACTGAGGATGATTAGACCTTCGACAACATCGTGATGTAGCCATCGCGCACCGCGCGCAAGCCTGAAGGCAACGTGTAGACCTTGGCATACCGCTTTATGTGCTCTGAGTTGGAGCTGTTCAAATAGTGAGAGCATTTGACGCCGTACGTCACCCTAGCCTTCCTCGCCGATACCCATCGCCCGAGATAAAAGGCCACCGCGCCCTCTGACACGGCCTTGCTCCTGGTTGTTCACGTCATGTTCAGACCTTACAGGAGCTGTATAACGTGAAATACATACGTGTGACGATCGGGCCTCGACAGCACCAGTCCGAGAGCTTTTAACTGCTGCTGTAGTCGAGCGAATAGCCACGGGCTCGCGGCGAAACCTCCAACTAAGAATACAGTCTACATTGAGAGAGGTGGGTGATTGAGCCGGCGGGTAAGGAAAAATAGTTGACTCACTCTCAATGAAGGCGGCGATAGCTGCCGCTGACGTTGAATCGCGTCTACGATCGCTACCGCGGAGGGCTCAAACAAGGCCGAAACTTCTGATCTATCTCGCCGTGAGCCAGTGAATGTACAGGAGAATAAGGCAAGAACTGAAAGTCTGCTGTGTACTCACCCACTGAGGACAAGCTGCCCACGACGTATACCGGCTACGGGATCATTACAGCCCATGGAACCGAACTTTATGTACGACGGTTCAGCGGAGTCTTTGAAGATTTGCTTCGTGTTCTTGTCAAAGAACTCCATCATGGACTTGATATCGTCGTCATTGCCGTACCGCGACTTTACCAACTTATCTACGGCCGCTATTATAAAACTGATCTTTTGACCACGCATAACAAGCCAACGAACCTTTCAGGAACTTCGAGGCTCGGACATTTACTGTAGTGGAGCCTTGCATCAGACCTGAGCGTATTCGCGCAGTGAGCACAGTGCGATATAGACATGTGAAAGAGCGTACAGTCGGGATTGGCCGCTTCTTCTACAGTCATAGGGGAGACTGTGACGAACTTGTACGTGCTGATGTCCACTGTTCCGCCGCCTGCGTCGACAATCATGACACTATCGCCATCCTATTACGGATCACATAGATTGAGCGTGAATGTATCACTGAGGGTCGTGATCCTTACATTCGTGGACTCCTCGACCAGTCCATTTTGAACGCAATAGTATAAACTGGCTTCTCCCTCCGTCACGAAATGGACACGCGCATGTCCAGCCGGCGTATCAGGAACGAGCCCGCCGCGAATAGCAGCAAGCCGCATCTTGCTTTGCTGCGGGCCCTCCCACCCATTTGGATGACTCAAGACGATGTCGATGCGGTCTCCCAGGGAGTCCCAGAGTCGGTCGCCGACAGCGTGGGTCTCAACTACGTAACGGCGTGCGCAGTCATATAAATAACGCAGAAAGTCTGTAAAGACATCAACGACCGTCTTCCCTTGAGGAAGTGGGGGGATATCGGCTTTGTTGAACGTGCTCTTGTCTACGGTCTCCGGGCGTAGGTGTAACTTAAACCTGACGAGAGGCAAGTTAGTGACTCGGAATCAACAACTGCATGGTGGCTCACCATTCGACAAAGACTAGTTTATCGTCGTCGGCTTCTAGCTCCATGCCAGGGAGGGCGGCTTCGCCACCGGCGGCCCGTACTTCGCCTTGGGTATTGTAGTATAATATCGATGGAAACTTTGAACTTCCAGCCGCGTTCTCCTGGCCAGGGAAGCTATGTCGACGGTCGGTCATTCAGCATGAGAGCACACGCTGATTAAGAGCCCACCGTGTGACGCTTTGAACAGTCGGGACCTCTCCCGGATCAAGGAGAGCGTAAGCTATGCCACTGAAAGTAGTGCCTACGTCAAACGCAAGGACCAGCTTGCGCTGGGTACCGTTGTAGGGTTTCAGTGCTGGGGCCATGGATGAGTTACGCAACAGAGGCAGAGAGTAGAACTTGGGTCTCAAGTTCGTCAACGCGAACTACTTACCTTCGGTGAGTAAGGATGGGAGCCGACCATTTGGGACGTGGAAAGAGCATCAGAAGGAGGAGGACACACGGTAGAGTATTCATTTGCTACACACCACGCGGCGCCTTCAGCTCTGCTTTTCGGGGAACGAAGGCGACATCTTATCGATTAAGCGCCGTCTTGAGACGCCATGCGGCATGCGCATTCCCATCTGTAGATTTGTGGGCTAAATGCGAAGGACCAAGTTTGTGAGAAACATCAGTGTCGTTGCAATGAATCATGAGAAGTCCTTACAGAGAACAACTGTGAATCAGGAACCGATCCGCGAGGTGCTCCTCGATTAATGTGTCCGGCCGGTTCCACATTAGGAGTTCAGATTGCAACGTAAATGAGAGAAAGAAAATATTGGAGTTGCACGACCTACTAGGCCATTCTGTGCGCTGCCTCCCCGTTCAGGCCACGTCGCTGTGTCCCTAGTCCATTACTGCGAATTCTCACCAACGCACATCTGCCCAGTGCGAGATGACTTCTGCGCCCTCCCAAGGAGACCCGAACCCGGCTCGACCGAGTCAGGAGCGGAGGTCGCCTGCGGCTCTCAACATCCCGCCCTCAGATCGTCATCCTGGAAGTCCGACTCTAGCAGTACATTCCCCACGTTCTGATGATCCACATAGGCCGCCTAGACATTCGGAAAGGCGTGGTGATAGTAACGCGAGAGGAGGATATCCACGTCACCGGAGCCATCCGCAGCCGCGACCTCACGGAACGCACTCGCGCGGAGGGAGGCCGCAGAATGGGCATCGGCGACAGGATAGAGATCCACCCAGGACCTTAGAGGAGCTGCAGAACGAGACTCGCCGACTCAGCGCCCGTTTAGAGGCGTCCGAAAAGCGCGAGCGTCAGGCAAAGGCAGCAGTCGAAGAGATGGAAAACGCGTTCCAAGCTTTGCAGCTCTCACATACCTCGACGATAGCCTTGCTCGACGTGAGGACTTCCGAGCTCTGCGCAGCAGAGAAGTTCCTCGCTCGAGTCGACAGCTATTCCGATGCTGACATCACGCGGCTCGTTCAGGAGCTCAATGGCCACATTTTCCAGGTGGCGGCGCAGATCGCTGATTACGTACCAACTTTGACTGCTGGAGAAGCAGGGAGGGACTTGGATGAAGCAAAAATGGAGGCAATGGCCAAACTCTTGGGTCCGAACATGCTGGACATCTTGTTGTCGCGGCAGCACGGTAATAACATGATTTGCATCGAAATCGCTGTGCAAGCGTGCATCTCGACACACTTGACTTGGCTCATCCGCTTGTGGTCTCTGAATCGCGACGTTGAGTCCGTGCTGTTCGGAATGGTCTATAAGGAAATGCGAAAACACGGTTAGTGCCCGTTCACTTGACTTCGAAATTATGGCAGCCACTGACCAGAATCATGCAGAGGAGCAACCAGTCTTTGGCCGCTGGAGGGCTTTATCCCGATCCTATATACGAGCCGTCTCTGAGAGTCAGTCCATAGCAATCAACATTACGAAAATCTTGGTCGGCGACGTCGCCAGCATAGCATCTCTAGCTGGAGCGAGAGGCACCCGATCCTGCCTGAACAAAACTATTGGCGCGGCGTTTGGAAGCAAGATACAACCACTTGTGGAGCGATCTCTTGACATCCGAAAAGCGATATACGAAGACGTGATCTCCGGGGAATTCGAACCCTTCACCGTCGCTTGCGGGACGTATTTCGATAAGGGTACCATGGAGGAGGCGTACACAGTCAAGACAGCAACTACGGCTCCGCAACACACGCAGGAGGTTAAGGCCCTATGCGTGACGGAGATGGGTCTGTTGAGAAGGGAGAAGAGAGAGGGGAAGGTACACGACATGGTGCTGCTGAAGGCAAAGGTAGTCCCAGAGACACTGGTCAACGAGCTACGCGGGCTCGGCAGGGGCTCAGACTCAGCATCTAGATGACTGGAATGTGGAAACAATACTTAAAACCAGCGCATACATTCGTGGAACTGCACTGCATACGTACTTTTTGGTTGACGTCTTGTGTCAAAATGCATGTCAATTCAGGCCGTCTCAAGCCAATCTGTGGGCGATATCAGCATGGCGTTCTCTACATACTGATATTCATGATTGAATGGACAAGCATACATTGACCACAACGCTGCTCAACGTAAGGTCATCTGGACTCCTTGTCGTAAAGGCGTCTATAAGGTGAGTCGACGGCCATTTCGATACCGATATCGGAGCGCAATTTATATATGTATATATACATATATCACAAAATAAAGCGCAGACCTTACACCCGCACTCGAGATGCGTGCGCAATATCAGGATAACGTCGATCTCGTGAGCTGTATGACAACGTACCTAAGCTTGAGGGCGCCGATGTCAATTCACCAAGGCAACACATATTGTAAAGTTATTCGACAAAGAGCATTCAAGGATGCATGATGGTGAGTGTTACAACGCGCGTTGGACAGATTCGTGCTTTCCAGAGTGCTCCTCGAAGGACAAGCGCCGACTCAATAGGGGTGTCACGACTTGTCACGAGCGCCACAGACGTGTTCAGACTCCGCTCTGATGACGCGACGCGTCTTGGTGTTACTTATTTGTTAAGCGGCAGACAGAAAGTCGCAGACATCCTTGCATAGTACTGCCTATTCCTAAGGGCACTAGCTGACCATCGTACACATCATACAAAGTGCGCTTTGAGGTCCACGCGAACTCTGATTCTCGATACGCGGTAGAAATCTGAGCCTACCCTTCACGGATTATACGCAAGACGCCACGCACTGCATAAATGGTGATTCAACAGGCAAGCAATAGGTAAACAATGGACAGCGGCGGTATAACAAAACCGGAAGCAGGATGGATCACCCGTCGCAAGTTCTCCGAAGACATGCCACCGTCTGACGGGTCTGGGAGTCTATGCCAGAGTGGCTACATCATCATCATACACGATAGATGCTGGTCCACTGTACGAGTCACGGAATATGAACTCTATGAGTTACCATGCAGATGCGTATGATACTCACCGCATCTCCCTTCCCTGTGAACGAGTCAGGTCAGGCATCAGCAGCGGAGACAGATCGTAGGCTCACATTTTCTATCCACGAAATTTGGGCCTTAAGCTCCGTGAGCCCGCAGAGCAGCACCACCCTGTACGTCTGCGTGAAGTAGGGCCCCTTCGGACCCTTCTTCTTCACCTTTTGCACGCGAGATGTGTCCGCATGCACAGTGCATAGCGTGGAGAACATCTCTGCATCAACCGCGGGTATATCAGACCTGCTTGAATAACTTAACTGTGGCTTTCAAATCCTCACCTGGTTCGACATCGGTCCAGTTCGGGTTCGCAAGTTTGCCCCGGTAGCATGTAACGATCGACTTCACAGTCTTCAGATCCGCCTTCTTGCGTGACTCCACGAACATGTCGCGATATACCTCATGATTCCCGTGGACTTGGCTTCCCTGTTCAGACAATTGATAACGGCCTTCAAGATGCGCAGAACGTCCATACCCTCGACAGCAACGTCAGATAGCCATCTGGCACCATGCACAACCCTGACGGCCACACTTTGGTCTTTGGATGCCGATGTCTGTGCTCTTCGTTCAGGTTGTCGTATTGCCGACAGCATGTCACCCCGTATGTTACTCTCGCCTTGCGCGCTGACACCCAGCGCTCCAAATGGAAGGCGACTGCGCCCTCGGAGACCGCCTTGCTTCTGCTCTTCTCTGTGAGTGTGGCGCAAATCGGGTTCACAATAAGACGCATACGTGTGGCGGTCGGGTCTGGTAAGCTGCAGCCCGAGGGTCTTTAGACGTTCCTGTAGCTGATAAAACAGCCATGGGCTTGCGGCGAAGCCACCAACAAGGAACACGGTCTAAGTGAGCGGTAAGACGCACTACCAGCTGTATGCGAAACCTCGCACTCACCTGCAATGATGGCGGAGACAGCTGTCGCTGACGTTGAACTGCTTGTACAATCGCGAAAGCAGAAGGTTCAAAAAGATATGCTACCTCAGACCTTTTCCCGCGAATAGACGATCATGTGAGAAAAGAAATTATAGGTAGCGCGGTTCGGCCAGAACTTACCCGCTAAGGACAAGTTGTCCACGACGAATTCCAGCCGAGACATCATTGCAGCCCATGGAGCCGAATTTGATATACGATGGTTCATTTGAGTTCTTGAATATTTGCTTTGTATGTTTATCGAAGTATTCGAGCATCGAAGCTACATCGTTGCTATATCGTGAATTCGACAACTTGTCTATGGGCCGCTGCGTCAAAATAGCATCTTTCGTGACAGAAATAACTGACCTGTCAAGAGCTTGGAGGCCCTGACGTTCACCGTAGTGGAGCCTTGCATTAAGCCTAGGTAGTACCCTGTTATACGCGGGTCACATGTCGGTGCAGCGACGTATACTCACAGTCCGGTGGAGCTGCTTCCTCTGCCGTGATAGGACTGACACTCACAAACTTATATGTGCTGATATCGACGGTGCCGCCACCGGCATCGACAACCATCACGCTTTCCCCGCTCTGAAAACAGTTTGTAAGCTTGTCAGCTCGACAGGGAAGTATGACGCCTGTCCGAGGTTCTTGCTCACCTGCATCGAGTCGGCAACTAGCCCGTTCTGTACGCAATAGTACAAGCTTGCCTCCCCTTCAGTCACAAAGTGTATGCGAGCCCGTCCAGCAAGAGTGTTCGGGACAAGACCAGCACGACATGCTGCCGTTCGCATTTTGCTCTGCTGCAGGCCCTCCCAACCGTTAGGATGACTGAGTACAATATCAATCCTGTCTCCCAGAGAATCCCAAACTCTATCGCCGTTTGCGTGCGTCTCCACAATGTATTGTTTCGCACAGTTGTAAAGGTACTGAAGGAATTGAGAGAAGACGTCGATCACCGTCTTCCCCGGTGGCAGCGGGGGTATATCAGTGTTCTTGAAGGAGTCGTCATCCACAGACTCGGGTCGTAAATGTAACTTGAACCTGAAACGCCAGTGAGCATCGCGTAGGGCCTGATATGATCTCTTACGCACCATTCAACAAATATGTAACTATTTTCGTCGGCTTCCAGTTCCATAGCAGGAGAAATTGCCTCCGCACCAGCAGCGCGCATGGATCCACTTGCATCGTAGTATAGCACGGATGGTATCTTGGAGTTTCCAGCGGCGTTTTCTTGCCCGGGGAACCTAATGCAAGCCAATGAGAGCACGATCTGTGGGTTTTCTGTTGAGCCTACCGGGTCACGCTTTGGATTGTAGGCGCTTGGCCAGGGTCGAGAAGTGCATATGCCACCCCGCTAAAGGTGGTCCCCACGTCGAACGCAAGGACCAGTTTTCTTTCAGCTCCGCTGAACGGTTTGAGAGTAGACATTGTGTTCGAAAACCTAGAGGAAAGGGAAACGGGAACTGACCAGAAAGACGTGCTCCTCGGACGGTTACCGGTGAAACTTCTGAGCCCCGACGAGGGTGCATAGAGATCAGAACCGGGGAACAATCGGACATACGTTGAGCGAACAGAGAACGATGCTGCACCCGGTCGTATGTAAATTAGATTGAGGTAACATGAACGCCTAGATGGGATGCGAATAACCTATCGTGGATTAGTCTTTGCCTCTTCTAAGCATGCGACGCATGACTTCGATGGCGCAGCGGAACCCGTAATCCTCGTGGAGGCTGAATCGAACCTATTCAGGAGCTAAGGACGCGAACATGAGCATACTCGTGCGAGTAATTCGTGAATGGATTCACGCTTCAAGGAACCGCTGTAAGCATCCATCTGCAAGCCAGAGACAGAAGCACTTCATTCGCCTCGGACGCTGCCTCGACTGCAGTACTCTCTAGTGTCCACGCCAGCCGTGCTCCTTCCCACCGTCGCACCAATCGACAACATACGATAAAATACAGCTAGTCGAGAAACCAGCCCGTGTCCTAGACCCGATGCAGCCCACTCGCCCTGATTCCACTAGCCGCACAGCTGGAAACGAACGCGAACAAGAACATGGACAGGGGCGCAAGTCGCAGGTCAGGACAAACAATGGTGAAGCTACTCAGCAGGCGCAGTCGCATGATTCCGGAGGAGTGACCGCACACCGACAAGAGAATCGCGGAGGAAATGGACGTGTTACGCGGGGACGCTTTGAGGACATGGACCGCGAATCGCTGATGAAGGAGATACGCAAGTTACGGAGGGGTTACAAGGATGCGCACCAGAAGCTCGAGGAAGTAACTGGGCAGGTGGGGGGGCTGCAGCGATCGCTTGCGGAGGCGGAGAACAAACTCACGGTCACAGCGACGTTGTTGGACGAGAGGACAGCCACCCTTCGCGCTACTGAGACGCTCCTCACGAAGAACGATCAGTATTCGGACGCCGACGTTTTGCGACTCGTGAATGAGCTGAACGACCACATCCTACAAGCGTCCGCACAGATCGCAGATGCAAGGATCAGGCTCTCCCCTCAGACTTCACGCCATCAAGGAGATATCGATGAAGCAAAACAGAGAATCGAGTCCTCTGTCGGAGCGAAGATGGTCCAGCTCCTGCAGTCACGTCTCCATGACAGGCCATCCGTCCTCCAGATGGCGTTTCAAGCTTGCATCGTGTTTTGCGCAAGTAGAATCATTAAAGCTTGGGTATTTCAACACTTCGGTGATCGTAAGATATTCGACGAGGTCCACAAGAGGATTCACGCAAATGGTGAGTGGTATCGCAGCGACAAAGGAAGGAAAACGCTGAGTTTAAAGGGTGATTAGAGGATCAGTCCGTGTCAGGCCGATGGCGAGCGCTCGCCATGACATACCTGCCTATGTCAGACCATGTGAAGGTCGCAGCCGGACTAGAAAGCGGCATAATCGATTCCATCGTTGCTATTGTACTCCTCTCCGGAGAGAGAAGTTCCATCCAACAGCTTCGAGATCATTTCAGCCGTACTTTCGGCGCCAAAATACACACAATCGTGCAACTCAGCCTCGACATACGGAAGGCGATTGGGGAGAATGTCATATCAGGCGATCTCACTCCTATCATCGTACCTTGCGGAGATCAGTTCAATGTTGACTCGATGGAGGGTACGCATGCCGGATCTACGCTTCGTGACTGTAACGTGGTCTGTACAGTCGGGATGGGCTTAAGACGACACGAAAAGAGGGCAACCAAAATGGCTACCGTCACGCTGTTGAGACCGCGGGTGTTTACAGACCTCTCGCTGGAGGAGCTCCGGCGACCCGCGAGACCATCAAAGAGATGACAGGCAGATTTTGGTACCTATGCAGACCTAACGGTGCTGCTGCTTTTTTGTTGCAATGAGATGTGGCTGATTTTGTGAAGTGGGGCTCGTAAATGCGGTGCTACTGAAGAGTCTATGCGAGTCAAATGCGATGTGAATACTGAGGTAAGGATGTTGGCACGTACATGCCCAACATATATCGTTTCTGGTGCTCAGAGCAACCACCAACACGTTCGTTCTTTGCTTGGAAGACGCCCATAGGACATGAGCTGGCGCCGGCCCTTGTGCCCGCATTGCCGCCGAAACATGTATTCACCATGTCGATACATTCGTGCGAGTAAAGCATGGCAAGACACAGTATAAGGCCACCAAAATGAAGTATTATAGATTATGTTCAAACAGAGCTTTGATAGATATGTTGGAACTTGGGATTGTGGCGAGCGCATGCCACCGTATTTGGCATTGTTTGTAGTATCTCGCAGACTTTGCGCGAGCCGCTCTGTACGTTCCTTACGCGTTTGACAGAGCTCAGTCAAACGCGATATATCTTGTCGATCTTTCTTGCTTCGAGTCTCAGACGAACTTTAACAGGATACTATCATAATGAAGTTCTCGGAGTCCCACGCGGCTTGCGCCACAGCCACAGACGCGTTGAAACTCTGCCTAAGAACACAAGCTTGATCACGCACCGTGATTCTCAATATGACTAGTGACACGTGGCTGAGACAACGCCTCTCCGGTGACCTACATTGGAACGATGTACAAACGCATCGTGAGATATACAGTACTTGTTTACCTCGCACAACTCTATTGTGTTCATTGTGAAGACCATGTCAGGCTGAATGTCATGCCTCCGCGCGGCGTACCACAGTTCAGACAAGACGACTTGTGCTGGTCGTGTAGGGCCGTCATGATACGAGCAGCACACAAGACTTATTGTGCATATTCATTGTCCGAGTTATAAGGACGCAGGTATCATGCATATGGTCGAATAACAGCGGTCGCTAGCGAAAGGGCCTTGTGCGGTCAACGCGCCGGTGATTAGCGCCTTTGCACGTGCCTATGTGCGTCCATGAAGATCCCAATCTCAGATCTCATTGTTGGCAACACTCAGCATTCCCACGACGTGCGAATGTCTTGTATTCAAATCAGCCATGTGTCTGCCAATTGCACAGCAAGACAATACGTGATTGCTAGACATACAGCGCGGCTTCATGGGGCCATGAACTATCCCATCACTCCTGTTTACGACACAGAATGGCCCCCTCCCTCGCATTCTCGCCCCCATCGGCATCTACATTGCTTTGTGGCTGGATCCAGTCGGAATGGCAGAAGAACTTGACATCCATGCGGTGCTTACTGCTGCGCAGGCCATGACACCTAGAAAATATCTAGGATACGTCCACGTCGTATGCATTTCTTGACATATGTACCAATCGATATTCACTGTAAACTCGCAGGTCAGAGACTTCCCCTTGCCATCGCGACCATGGCATCGATGCCACATCCGCTTCGTAGGAGAGGGCATGCCAGAGGAACAACCCGAGAAAGGCATCCTTTCGGACATGTGTACGCCCATCGAGCCCACCACTGCACATCCCGCAGGCCGTGAACCACTTCATCCTTCCAGACTGTTCCCGTATCCGAACTGCTACCAACATCATTTTATTGACAAACTCGTGCGAGTCCCTACTCATA